ACTGGTGGTGGTGGGGAGCTGTAGTGGTAGACAGGCGGAGGTGGGGATTTGTATTTGTAGACAGGAGCAGGAGCGTGATAAACAGGTGGGGGAGGAGAAGCGTACTTGTAAACCGGTGGTGGAGGGGGCGGAGATTTGTACTTGTAGACTGGAGCAGGAGTCTCGTAAACAGGCGGGGGTGGAGACTTGTACTCGTAAGGCGACGCCTCGACCTGTGCAGCGAACGCAAGTGCGATCACCACCAAACTCAGAGCTGCTGTTGCCTCCATTGGCATTCTTGTCCGTCGGGGCGGCCCCATGGTCTCGGGCTCTCTTCTCTTTCCCTGCTGCTGGAAGAAGCAAAAACGAACAGAAGGAAAAACATCAAGAACAGAACGTCAGAAGGCTGTCGAGCAGTTCGAGAGCAAGCAAGTACAGGCGAGCTCTGCATCGCAGGCAAGGCACACACATTGCGGAATTGAAGAAGCAGAAGCTTACCAGCGCTGTCTCAGACACAACAGAAGATTCCTGAAAAGAAAGCTCTTTAGTCCCGGCTTCTCCTCCTCCTCCACGAAGAAGGAAGTGTTTCTCCCTGAAACCTTCTTGCTCTTCCGGTGGATTGCCTCTGGGACTTATATATACTGGCGGGGACTAGTCCGAAGTCTTCTATGGCGACTTGGGGCCCCAGTAAACTGTAGCAGCAGCTAGACGGTAGTAGTCTCGACGCTCGTTACAACATGGCAAGTGTGTGAGAAGAATGAACGAACGTGAGAGCCACGTTCCCCATACGGCCGGCCTTTGGAGATTGTTATTCGCCAATTCTCCTCGTCTCTACGGCCAGCTGGTTTCTTTAGTGAGTGCAGCTGTGGGCCATTTTAGCAGCTCGGGAGTAAACTACACTTGGTAATGGCCAGGACGCAGCTGGATGCAACGCGGTTTCACAGTATCACGGTAAAGCCTTGATCTTCTTTTTGCCAGTTTAAGAGTAGAACCGGTCCTATGCTCACCGTGTCTCTTTTGTTTCGTTCTTATTTTTCAGATCACAGATTGTTTTACAGCGGGTGCCTGGCAGGGGCGAAGCTACAGGCGTGCTTCTTGTGCCAGAGGGGAGTTTCTTTTCTCTCGTAGGATAGTTATTTTCTCCTTTTCTTTTTGGTTTTTTAAGTTCTCTTTCAGAATCAGTGGTGGCATCGCAGGTTCGATCCCTACCCTTGCTTTAGCACCTTCGTTTTGCAGCTCTGATCTTCTGAACGTGCCACAGTCTGCTACCGCCGCACAGGTCTCTGAAATGTTTCGTTTTTTTCTTCATGAGAGACTGAACTGTAGCGTTTGATTGACAAGGAATGTGTAAACAACACTCTTAGCGATTTGACCTGCTCGGATTGATACATATCTCATATCTCTGGGAGGCGTCCAGGAGGCTGCAGTGGTACTATAACCACGTGAAAGGAGTCTCGAAATGATTGTAAGAACAAACAAGCTTGGCATGCTCGAGTAAAAGAGCGAAGGAAATATGCTTCCATGATGACCACAGAATGTAAGTTACATTACACTACATGGTGGCGGTACTCAAACTCCAACCTCGAGTAAGATCATGTTTGTTTGAAATAGTTTCATTTTTCTCGTATCGTAAGAACTATTTTGTTTTTAGTAGCAGCAGACAACAAGAAATTACTGGGAGCCACTACGGAAAGCTGAAAACTTTCCTGTAGAGTGTCCGTGTCCTCATGCGATGATGGCCTCCACCGCTTCTCGGGAATGTAAGAAAAGAAAAAACCAACTTTCGAGGCGGAATCTGTAGAATCGTGGAAACGTAAGGAAGCGGAACACGAACGCTGACCGAAAGCGAGACATTTTAACCAGGAGCATTCCAGGTGGGTTTCATTTTCTACTCTTGGCTCAAACATTGTTTATGTTATTCCGGACAGTCTTGGGGAAGCGAACAAGTCTCAACGGGACAGCGAGACAGGGGAGAGCTGGTCAGAGAAATGGTTTCCCGCGAATCCGAATGTTGACTAAAACTCCAGAATCTCGTCACTTATGTATTGGTGAGTGACGCTAGCAGGGGCCACTGGAATCGATCTCTCTTTCCGGATTCAAAGGTATGATAATTGTCGCAGTTGCTTGCTCGTCCTTCCATAATATTCCCGTGGAATTTCTCTAGAAAACGGCTCGCGCCGGGACCTTCGCAACTTCACCAACTTAGTACTTTACTTCCCTACTAATGAGCTCGATTCATTCCGCAGGCGAGAGAATGCTTTCCTGCCTGGAAAACTTCACGAGGAACTGGAAAAAACCAGTGTGGCTTTGATTTTCTAACGAGCCACGTCAACACAGCCTTAAATGCGGACGTTAACGAAGATGATAGGCTTCCAGACAAATGTTTTCCAATCGCTGACCCCAAGACGTGGCCGAACGGCACCGTTGAAACCGATGAGAAACGACGAGCGGTCCAGTTGCAAAGGAAAAGCTTGACCCGTGGATGGTGTCCCTTCAACCGTTCGCATAGGATACTGCGTGGAACTCGGGCACTCGACATTTGGAATCCAGCTCAAGCCTATGAGCGCGCACCGGCAGCTCGCGGGGGACGATGAACTAGGCTGATGTCTGAGTGCGATACTTTATTCCTGATAACCTGGGAGGGACCCTACTACTTTTGTAAGTACTGCAATCTTTCTTTTTTTTCTTTCACTCCTTTTATAAACAGTTTACCTGGCTGATCGATCTGTTAACTCCTTTGCAGTGGCAGCAGCACGTACCTAGGACGCTGATGAAGAGCACCTTCCCTTCGGCTGTCGTCGATGATGTTCTCTGGTCCACACTGTTCAAGGTACTTATTCTTACTAGTCTGGGAAGGAGAGGGAGAGATTTCGTCCACTTCTCTCGTGAGTCGTGAAAGCAGCCGTCGTCATATCGGTCCTGAGCCTGTGCCATTTATTCCCGCGAACAAGTGTCTGCATGACCCTCTTGACAAGCAGCGGCATCGTTGCTATTAGTCAACATCGTCGTCGAATCTTTGTTTTCCTCTTGCTTGCCTTATACTTTATGATCTCTTCCTTGTTGTTTCTTCTTGCTCATTGACGTCTTGCCTCACTAGCAACTTCCAGCTTTCCTTTTTGTCCTGCTTATTGCAGCTCTAGACAAGGTTTTACGTGTCCTAGGCTGGCCAGTACTGTGGCCCTTGGCTGACGTTTACAGGAGCTGGGAAAACAATCCCAAGGCCGAGTCTTGTACCGTCTCTGCCATGCGGCTCGCAATGTGCCTGGCAAGTCCCAGCCAAAAATGTACCACTGCTGACGGTACAGAGCACAAACCAGAGTCTTGTATTATCTTCACGCTCGTCACGCCTTCGTGCCAAAGTCCGGCAAGAAGCAGTTGGAGCAACCCCACGTCATCTTGGAGTGACACTGGAATGCTTTGTTGTTCAAGTTTCTGCTTCTGTGGATCCGGGCCTGACGTGGTCGTGCCACTTCCAAGGTTGCTGGAGACTGATGACGTGCTGCAAACCGGAGCTCTTGACGAGCTCTGGTCGTCAGCCAGTGAGAGAGACACCATTGTCGTCTTTGTTTCAGCTGCAGAAACCCACTGGAGGCAGTCTTTGATGCTGTCTTCGAAGCTCTGGACCTGAGAGTCTGGCTGCTCCCGCTCGCCGGACGTAAGCCTGTGGATTTGCAAGTCCTTGACGAACAACGTGTGCTGCAGCTGGAGGATCTTCTTCTTCCGGTGATCGCTAAGTTTGGCCATCTTGTCCATATCACTGTACATGGCACAGGAAAGAACGAGAGGTCATTCGAACGAACTCTACAAAAGCGATGAAACAAAAGAAGTTTTTTACTTGAGGAGCGTCTCGATGAACATGTTCTGCTGCAAGGTTTGCTCCTTCTCCTCCTCGAGCTGCTTTGACACCGCCTCCTTCTCGTCTTGCAGCGCCGCCACCGCCGCATTGAGCTGCTGCTCTCGCGCCGCCGCCGCCTCTCTGGACGACTTCATCGCTTCTCTCTCGGTGAGCACTATCCTGGCCAGCGGAGCTAGAAGAAACTCGTTGAGACGATTTATCCGGGCATGAACGTCGCCATCTCTGTTCTCGTTCGCAAGAACCGCGATATCCTGGACGAGATTTGTTCCGGTAAGACCAAAACCTCTTTTTTATTCTAATTCCTCGTGACTTACCATGAGAAGCGAGCGCTTGAGAGCCGCATTCCACTGGCGGGGATACGTGCTCATCACCTGGGAGAGAAGATAGAGCTCGTTGATGGACATGTCCGCTATGGAAGATCTCTCAATCCACCTGGTTTGCAAAGTAAGCTAAAGATCTTTTTAAACAAAAAATCTCATAGATAAGAACAAACCATGTCCAGGGTTCTTCCATCCATCTCGCGAAGCTAGCTCGATCACAAAGATCACGCCTTGACAACCCAAACCGGCGTGATCACGCAGCAAGAAAAAATCCCTCCCCAAAATCTTCGAAACTTAGAGATCATGCGCTACACTCCACCAAAACCATTTTAACCCAGCCAATTGCAACGAAAGAACTAAACCCAGCCACAAATTGAAAAGAAAGAACTAAGCCGCTAGAAGAAACTTACCAGGAGAGAGCCTGCCAGAGAACCAGGGAATCGACCAAGAATCGACCAAGAATATAGGGACAATCCAACGGCCATAATTTAAACATTATCTATCAAGTGGCCACTATATCTTTGGCTTGGAGCACTACTTCCTTCTTTGTCACAAATTTTAGAGTAAGATCGCTACTTCTCTCGCGTGTTTTTCCACCTCCGGCAAGAGAGGTCGCGCAGTAACTGATATCAGCCGTGCCAATCCCCAGGCCGCTCACCATCACCTCATAGTTTCCAGAGGAATCGGTGTATCCATAGGCGTCTTTAGCGCCTGTGCCTGTGAAGCATTCCACCTTAACTCTCGCACCTTGATAAGAAAGAAGGTAGTCTTAGCCATCTGTTAATCGCATCTGATAAGCTTGCTTACCTTCGAGTCCTTTGTCAATCTTGTACACGACCCTGCCTTGGATGACCAGCTTAAGTGGAGAAAACTCGCGCTTTCCAAGGCATGGATGCCTTGTAGGATGCCTGTGAGGTGGTGGTGGCGATGGCGGAGGTGGCGACAGGTAGAAGAATGGAGGCGGAGGGTGGTGTTTGCTATGAGGAAAGGGTGCCAAGTGGTGGTGGTGCGGCGGCGGTGGTGGAGGTGGCGATGGTGGCGACGGCGGTGGTGGCGATGGCGGAGGTGGCGACCGGTAGAAGAATGGAGGCGGCGGGTGGTGCTTGCGATGAGGAAATGGCGGCAAGTGAACACGCTGATCCCCGCCACTCGAGAGCTCACGAAGATCATCACTGCCGCTGCTCTGCGTAAAATCCCAGCTTGTGAGAACCAGCAAGACAAGCAACCAAAACACTCTCATTTTTCTTCACTCTTTTGAGTAAAGCAAGCACACTCCCAACACAAAGCGGTGACTAAATACTTATCAGAAAACGTACCGGTTGCTTCAGAGTGCTGATAGAAATCATGAGAAGCGGTGGTGGCGGTTTGAAAAATACTTGTTTTTCGTCGCATGATCATCGTTTCCATCACCTGGACTGCTCTGTGACGCGGTGGCAGACGTAAAAAACACGAAGCTATCTCTCTCCCTCTTATTAACAGCGAGTGCGAATTATACAAAGAATTTACAAGCTGATCTGACCCGAAAATTCCAAATATGTACCGTACCAAATGTTTTGAGCGGAGGCCTCTAGAGCTGTTGCTATGATACAAACATATCCCGTAGTCTCAATCCAAAGGAGGAATGTGAGAAGGCCCCGGTGTTACCTTGACTCGAGGAGATTTGGCGCCGGATGGAGCTGGCAACGAGTAAGTGACACCTGCGGTGGAGCCTTCGATCAGGCCCGCTATTCCAGCCGCGGCCATTTGAGAGTTTGATGGCAGGAACAGGTCGTGCTTCTGGTCTTTGTATGCATTCCACACCTGGAACGTGGAGTTGCAAAAGGTGAGGACAACGAAGACCAACGAAGAAAGTGTCTCTCATACCTCGGACAAATTTAAAATCTCCTGAACTCTGGCAGAGTGAGCGCCTTCCTCGGCAAAGGCACGTAGAATCTGTTATAGAGCAGGGTTGTTAGAGCGCTTGGCGTTAACTCATAATAGAGAGAAGGACGAACCTCGACGGCTAAGACTCGCCCAACTGATGCCTCGGATTCGTTCCACTTCATTTGCTGGCACAAACCGTTTCGGCCACCGGCTCGCCAATCAAGCAATCCTAGCAAGATCTCAACGAGTCCAACCCTGTAGAATGGAGACATTAACATAAACACAAGACGAAAAAGAAGAAAAAAGAAAAAGAAAAAAAGAAGAAGCTTACTTCAATCCTTGGGCGACTAGAGCATCACGCGCACGATTACCCGCGGCCGTCACTCGCTTTAATGTTTCCAAAGCGAGAACACTACCGCCTTGCCATCCAATGGCCTTCACCAAAAGAGGAACAACCTGAAACGTATTAAAAGGTTCCAGTTATGACAAGAGTATAATGTTTGCTAGAATTGGTACCTGTGGAGAGCCGAGTCCAGACGTTGCCATGGCTTCGGCACACACTGTGCTGGAAGCAAGTTGATGAAGAACTCGCAAGCAGCTCAATCTGACGCGTTCCTGTAGTGTTTGGCCCTTGTCACCATCGTCCAAATCCCAAGACTCGTCCTTGATACCACCAGTCGAGACCATTATCTCTGCCGACGACATAATCTCCCTTCGTCCTTCCTTGGCCATAGCAGCCACGAGTTTTGGAACATATCCCAGGTGACCGGCATGATCAGCAAGAGCGGGCTGAACCCGTAGAAGCGACACTAGTGCTGCTGAGAGCAGCAAAGGAAGTTCCGCATCTGCAGGTTGAGGTCCTCTTGCATGAGTCGCGGCAGCGGCGGCTACATACTGATCCAGAAGTCCTTCCAAAAACCTCTTGGGATTCCGAAGAGGAAACTTTGGATCTTTCAGGAACAATCTTACGTACACTCCGCCAACCTGCACAGCAAGAAATAAAAGCGTTACGATAGATCAAAGATTGAGGAATTAAAAAAATCTACCTGAGGCTCATCACGCATATCTTGCTGACCAGCTGGTTGTTCCGGTAAGTCCCACTCCAAAACTCTTCCTTTCGTTTGCTCCCGATAGAGATCAGCAGCCATAGTGGCGAGTTGCGCACTCAAAGAAGTTGCCATAGCAGGAGTCCATACAAGCTCGGGAGTCTCAGTAGTTTGCTCAAGTGCTACCACAACAGCTTCACCAGGTCCGTCCCTGACAACAGAGACTAGGCCATCCGGCAAAAACCGACCGAGAGTAATAGCTACTCTTGGACCATGCATAGGCTGGCTGAGAAGTTTACCCAACAAAGAAGCTGCTGCAGCCCGCTGTTGACTGGGTATTTCTTCTGCAATGTGAATTTAGCCCAAATTCTTAAAAGGTCCCGGACAAACCTTGAAGGGGTAAAAGAAGCTGGAGAATGTAGACTACGCCTCCATGCTTTGCAGCTGCCCAAGCAAGCTCAGAAGTACTTGCAAGAGCATACAAAACACGTAGCGTTCCATCTCTGCAGGCCGGTGAAGTCAGCAGCAGTTGCAAAAGTAGTAGTAATCCAGATCTGTCGCTTGCTATGGCTTCCACGCAGGGAGCGAAGGACGTCAATTGTGAGAGGATACTCAAACATAGCTCCGGTATTTGACCACTTCCAGGATCTGTGTCCAAAAGGCACTCCAATAACGGCGCCACTTGCTCCTTGGTGGAAAATACAGAGCACAGTCCCGGGTTTGCAGTCAGTAAATTCTGAAAAGAAAAAAAAAAGATGATAACAAAACACAAAAACAATTGAGCGTCATTACCTGCAAGGACGTAAGTGCCATTGTCAAGTTTTCAACAAGGATAGCGCCGGACTCCTTTTTGTTTCCCTCGGAACTTTCTTCTTCACCGTCAGGCTGCGATATAGTTGCCTGTTCTTTGTCAGCGTTTTTCCTCTGTTCGACGATCCCACAGATGTATCGCATCAGATTTTCACAGAATAGATCCGGTTCGCTAATTTTGAAATCTGGCTGTTCATTGTAAACTCTGAGATAGACATCACCAACGTGCAGTTCGTTGCTCAAAGTCTTATATTTGAACTCCTGGGCAGCAGACATGTCGAAAGATCCATCTGGACAAGGAGAAACACGTTCCTTCTCAATAAACTTGAGAAGCTCCGACCTTGTCGTGGAATTCCAAATTATCTGTGCAATTTGGCAAGAATAAGGAGCTGAAAAGTCGTAAATAAAACAACTCTTGTACCTCGGGCGATTCCAAGTTCGAGTTAAGCTTAAGCAAAAGCTCCTTCGCGGACTCCTCGCGGAGTAGTGATGCTAGCTTCGGTGTCAACAACGATCGCAATACAGTTGCTGCCGTAGGATTGTGGGGACTACTAAGTTTGTCATCCAAAATACCCCATATTCGAGACAAAGCCTTGGCTGCTAATACTGCATGTGTATTCTTGGCAGCCTGGACACTATTGCCAACAGCATGAGGCTCCGTCGCATCGCCATCTTCTGCAGTAGAGTCGTATTGCAAAAGCAAAGGTAATAGATACCTGCAGTTTTATCTGTAAGTATCAGCACATAAACACTTTAACAAAGCATACCAGAAGACTCCAGCATTAAGCAGCTTATTCTGAAGATCTTGAGAAGCAGCAAGTAGACCAATGGTTTGCAGAGCAGCGTCTACAGCAGAAGTTGCAAGCTCCAGTTCAGCACAATGTACAGCATCTTCCACGAATCCCGGACACATCACTATTTCCTGCAGGGCGCTTCCAAATGTACTTATTACGGCGAAAGACCGCATCACGTTCGTGACTATGACCGCAGCTGGATCGTTTGGTGCTGTGTTGGGCTGCACAACATACATACAACGCGAAAGAAGCGTTGCTAGAAGAGGCACTCCACCATCTCGCACAAGCTCCTCCCCATTTAAGGCTGAAGACAAGCACCTGCAGGAGCAAAACGGTCAGAACCAGCAAACTACTGACTGAACTTGGAAGCTTACGTTAACCATGCGAGCTCTGTTGCAGCTTCCAAAAGCGGAGCTCGTTCGGACGAGAGAAAATTGTTGTCCTCGCTATCGACGGTTATCGCTTGCAGCAGCATCGGATATCCAGCATATTTGAAAGGTTCCAACACGTCTCCGTATCTTCTAAACAGTATACACTGCCCTTTCAATAACAGCCTTAATCTCCATGGTTGAGGTCCCTGAAGTCCTTGCAAAGTAGCCTGAAATAAACCATCAGAGGTGAGACAGTTGCCTACTGCCACCTTAACACATACCTGCAAACGCTCGTATGCTTTTTGGACTGCAACGAACTTTTCTCGGCCTTCCGGGTTTTTGTCTGGATGATATTTCATAGCCATCTTCCTGTATTGTCGTTTAAGAAGGTCCTCGTCAACCCGTCCAGCAAGTTTAGTAGGTAGTTTGCCTTCTTCATCTTCAGGGGGCTCAGCGTTGTGTGAAGATGTCTCATCCTCGTCCAAGGAAATTTCCAAGATAGAGCAAGCTTCTTCCTCCGAAAGATCCATTGGACGTCTCGTGAGCTCTTCACGCCACATACTAAGCAAAGACTGGAGGAACTCCACATGTTCGACAATCGGCCAATCCGGGAACCTGATCTCGTCGCAAAGATTTCGAAGGTAATAACGATGACACCACATTTCATCTTGCAGCTCTGGATATGTCACAGGAGGCATAGGTGCATATTCATATAAGCAATGGGAAAACTGAGACAACTTTGCCGGAAACTCTCCAAGGTGTTTTAGTGTCTGCAGAGATAAAGTGAGACAAAAAGTTCAAACAACAAGAGTCCAACGCACCTGATCTATAAGACGCTCCCCACGCATCTTATGAGTCCAAATTATTTCTGGTGTATCCGAATCAGCGACCATTGCCAAAGCAAACGAAGGGGAGCCGCTTCTTTCCAGCACATATAACAATGACTCGGGCAGTAATCCACCGAGAACACTTCGTTTGGCCAAAGGTAAAGAAGAAGAAACAGCTGCTTCCGCACCACCATGAAATGCTTGATGAACATGAGTGACAGCAAATAGACTGGCGATTGAACTCAGGTTTGAACCTCCATAAGCGAGTGCAAAATAAAAGGCACCAGTGTTGTAAAGCCTGACCATTGCTTGAGGATTACGAGTAACGATTGCCTTCAATAAAGAAGCTGCTCCTTCCACGATGGCAGGCTCTCCCGTTAGCATTGCCTGCATAAATCGGTGTCAGGAAAAAAAAATAAAAAAACATCAAAATAGCTTCAGACACCCTACCTGTGCAACATGCGGAAGGCAGCGGGAGCTTGAAAGAATTCTCTTGACTCTAGGAATTGGTACAACAAGCTCCCCAGCATCATCTAGATCGGAGTGTACAGAAACCATGCTGTGCAGAATAGACAAAGCAACTTCGCCAACCTGAAAAGAAAAACGTAAGCTTATTCAAGACGCAATTCAAACGAACGCACCTGTTTTGGTGTCAAAATACCCACGCGGCCAGATAAAGCCCACCGCAACTCACGAATACTTCGCAGCCGCTTCCAATCAGTCATCCCTGATCCCCAACATTTTGAGTTCCAGTCTATTTCTTGCTTAGACCATGCCCGCCTGATGGAGTCCTTTTCAACAGGTCCAACTTGCTTTCCTTCCAGGTCAACATAGTGCCAGACTTTCTGAGGCTCGATGAACGCAGAGGCAGCAATTAAGTTCGATTGCAGAGGTATGGACGTTCTCTCTGAAGCTTCATGGGAAGTTGTCAAAAGGTCCACGACCAAGGTACATCCCCCAACTGAAATGCACGCCTCAGCATTCGCGGGCACCTTGACTAGAACCTACGAGACACAGCAAAAACATGAAAGAAACAAATATATACTTTCTTACTTTCAGGAGAAGTAAAAGTCGATGCCGGAGTGCTCTGTCATTCGTTCTGTCAAGTAGAACCGTGATATGTGCGGTGCCATCAAAAGCACCGATAGCTTGACAATGCTGCTCGTAGACAATGGTCATAGCTCTTGCACATAGTTCTCGCACGGAAAAGCCACCACCACCACCAAAGCCGTCAAGCCCAGCCATATCGCACCAGTCCCCGGACGCAACTAGTTCACTTGGATCAGCCCCTTCCACTGTAAGACCCATATCCGCGTCACAAAGAAACCGGTGGTAGAGTGCTCTGAAGAAAGCAGCAGGATCTCTCAACGGGAAGTCTTGAGCATGGCTTTCCGACCCTTCACCACCTTCGAGAAGCAGCCTCAAGTAGTACTGTCCAACACAGACTTCTTTGGAAAGACTCGGATATCGGACGGAGAACTCGGCATAGTTCCAAGATAGCTGGCTCAGAGCAGTCTGATTCTCGTCTGGCACTGCAACACCGAGCGCCTCGATGCTGGTAGATCGTTCCTTTTCAACATCTAAGAGGTGGACTTCTGTAGTCAGTGCCTCCCGTAACTCTTGCCGGGTTCGTTCGTTCCATATCAGATCAGCTCGATTGTGATCGAGGCTGAACTCTCGCCAAAACTCGGGCCAGTTACAGACCAAGCGTCCAGAGCCTACCGGCAAGCTCTCTACCACAACTTGGGCCGGAGCAGGAACTAGAGCTTGCATCGAATCCGCAGGTGATGGTTCTACAGTATCCGCAGATGACGTTATTATATGCGTCTCGTCCCTGGTTCTGGTAACTATAATGCTGTCTGTAAGCTGAGAATCGCCATTGTGCCCAGCACTTTCTGCCTCTGTAACAATTGCCGGCTTTGGACGTAGCAAACGGCCCCTCCGTCTTTGTAGAAGCCGCTTCTGTCGTCGTTTGCCGAAGATGGTCTCTTGACTGAACTCAAGCTTCAAGTCCTCGTCGTCGTCCGAAGGACGAGTATGGAGATAAGCCACGAGCCCCGGAGGTAGCACACGGGAAAGAAGATCGAGCGCAGGTGCATGAGAATCAGCCCAAAGCGCCACAAGTTGCCTGCTCACTTCCCGACGTTCACCAGGTGGCAAGAAGAATGCGTGCACCAGGTGTCTCAATAGAGCTCCATCACGCAAGGCTGCGTCTCGCATGGATTCAGCAGCAATAGCATCTTCCTCCGCAATGGTGCGCATAATAACAGCTACTGTCTCCCTCACACCCTCCGCAGGATGGCCGAAGAGTGCGAACAGTCGCCTCCGCAAACCAGCTACTTGTCTTAACATCTCGATGAAAGTCGACGAGTCTGTTGTTTCGCTTTGAGGCTCGCAGAGCATAGCTTCCAGAACTTCCACCACTGCCATTGAAAGTAACGTCGAGACCGATGGCGACTTCAGCCTGTTAACCAGGACGGTCGTGTGAAGCTGGTTACCAAACAAGGCTGACTTCGCATGCATCATGGTGGCATGCCGTTCGCCTTTGCTGTTGATTCCGAAGTTCCCATCCCCAGGCCCACCTCCAATAAGCATGGCGATCAAAGAGGACGCTTCCATTGCCACGCCTTCAGAGCCGTTTCTCAGTAATCCCATTATCCTTCCAACCGCCACTGGCATTGAGATTACCACCGAAGCTACTGTTGAAGACGAAAGTAGCCGTCTTAAGCACGCGATGAGACCTATCAATGTTCCTGCGGCCTTGGGTGACGGCGGAGGTGGCGGGGGAGCTTCTGCTGGTAGATTAACTGGTGCTGGCAGCATCGACAATAATGCCATGTATGTCACGTCTGGAACATCCGTAGATAATTGGATACCGCTATATGGAACACAGGCGTTGAATTCTCGCACTCTTCGCCAAAGTCTTGCTTTTGATCCAGGAATAGAGCCACCCTCTGCAACCGCATCTTTTGCAGCTGCCACCAAGTGCTTGAGATGAAGAACTTCACCCTCCGGTTCTGTGAATAGACGATGATGGTGCGAGCTTACTAAAGGTACTGGCACTCTTCCAGTGGGAGGATCTAAACGATGTCCTGGCATTGTCAGCCTGGGAAGAACAGCGACCGGACGTTGACCCTGTGACCAACGTAAGTCACTAAACCTCAAAACGAAACGAACAAACCTCAGTCTGAATTAAATCCTTCACAGCCGCCAGCAAACTGTCTCTAGACGTGCTTGTATAGACCTGAAAGGGTTTTGATGTAAGAGCTTCATAGTGCACTTACAAAAGCAAAACACTTACATGGACTGGGCATCCATCACCAAACTCAATAGCAAACATCTGGGGCTCCTCAGCAAATCGAACGAGAGCTGCTACTGACGATAGAGGCCGACCACTCACTGCCTGTTCCATCAACCATCAATGACCTGTTAACAACAGCATGCACTCAGGCAAGCTTTGAAGAAAGCTAAAAAACAATCACGCTTGAATGCAAACTGTAGAGAAATACCTCATAGTTGTCATGTCTTCGTTCGACCAAGGAGCTCTTTGTAAGAACAAGCTTTCGGTAAACGGTATCGCCATGGTCTCCTAGTCCTCCCTTTGGCCCCAAGCCAAGCGTCAAGCCAACCGTATTTACAGTCCCATGCGCGGAGGAACGAATTCTCGTTACAGACCATTCACCAACAGGAGCTTCACTTACACCAACCATAATACTGGCTAAAATCGAAAAGATTAGAATTTCCTTCTGAAGATGGCAAAAAGAATCTCTACCTCTTTGTTTAAGAAACTCCGGCGCACCAAATGTCTGGGATGAGTCAATAGTAGTCGTGACCCCCACACTGGACTTCGCTGTATTGGTCTGCAAGAGACAGATTCGATAAATTACGCAATTGAGTTCTTTGCATACCAGCTTAGAAATTATGGCCGCGTTAGACGCTCCTACGTCAGCGATGAAGGCTTTGCACTTTCTGCCATACAGAGGGCACAAAACAAAACCTCCTCCCTCAGCTCCCTTCTTGCCGTACGCATCACAGAGCAAGATGATTCCAGGAGAATCCATATCCCGAAAGTCCAAGCACCAGCAAAGATCATTTGACTTGGAATCTCGAATCTCGACTCCAATGGGCGTCAGCTTCAACACCTTTACAAGTTGCACCAACCCGAGATCATGAAAAAAAACAAAAAGAGAGAGAAAAAAGAGACTCACACAAGGTGACCACTGAGAAGATCTTCGCCGGAGCCGAAGAACCGAAAAGCTCGCCACCGACGGCGCGGTGCCACCTTTGCTCCACTTCAACTTGTGTAGCTCGGTGAGAATCGCTGCACGGGACCTGTTCCTTCAGATAAGCCACCGGCATTTTATCAAAAGCCACGCACAAACTCACCTGGAAGAGAACTTGACCGACTTAAACTTCCCACGCCCATCCGTCCGGACATTGATCGTAAACTCGAGCCCCTGCTGTTGTGATGGATCCTCGCGCCCAGCCACCGGCGCCGCGCTCTCATAATCCGTGTCCAGATCATACGAATTCGTCACCTGGAGGCTCCCCGGCTCGAGCGTGATAATGCTCGACTCGGAGATACACAAAATCCTCTTGTACCGCCCGCGCCACGAGTGCTTCATCACGAGAAACCTCGCCAGGTACTCGGGCTCCTCCAGCGCAGGAGGAGCGGCGCCGGAATCCGCCGATCCATTGGCGCCTCGCTGCTGCTGCCTCGCCGCTACCGCCGCGGCGGTGGTGGATTCCATTACCTGCAAGAGACGCAGCTGCCGGGGCTGCTGCCGAGGTCGCGTCCACGAAATCCACCAATTCCAACTCTCCTCCAACGCTGATCTGTGGCGGCTGGCGCTGGCGCCGCCCCCCGACGACTGTGAAGCCCCCGTCTTCGCTACGAAACCCTAGAACGTAGAAATCATAGTTCCATTTCTAGGGTTTTACAAATCCACTCTCTCGCATCATTTCGCCCAGGCTATATTGCTTTCGCTGCTGGTTTTTATCACATTCACATCAATAATAGGATTTACCCATTCTTTCTTTGGACCCAATCTTATCATTTAATGACAACGTCCATTGGAGATGGAGAGGTCGTATAGTATGTAAAATTTGAACTAATGCGTGTGTTAGTAGAAAGAATTATTTGGTAGCATAGAGCTCGCCTTCTTATCAGCATTCCACCGTGATCACCGCGGATGCGTAGCTCACGCTGCTGTCTCGCGAAGTTTTGCAATGGCTTGACTGCTCGTATTGCAAGAATCTTAGCTCCAGTTTGGTGTTACAATGTTGTATCATCTGCATGGAACAAAGTAAAAAAAAATTGAGAGTTCCTTTCGATCTGGAATGCTACTAAAGCTTACGTGAAGAAGAACTCCTATGGGATGGCGTCCACAAATGGTGTTCTCGTACTCGTCCAGGTAGCTCTTGAAAGCTTCCGGATTTTTGGACTCGATGATGTCCATGCCACACTTGTCGAGAGCCTCGATGGACTTGTAAATGGGACCACGCTTCTTGTCATAGTACGTGTATCCAAACCTGCGGGAAGGATAAATTGATGAACAAACAAGCGAGAAAAGGGACTTACCGTGATCCCCAGTGACAGAAATCCGAGGAGACGGAGAAGAAGTTAGAGGGATCGTCGAGGTACTTTGCAAGCAGCCGCCCATACAGAGCTTCACTCTCAGATGACAATGCGCCGACTAGAATGGGAACGATCTTCACGGGCACCCTTCACTTGTATGTCTAAGTCAGTAGCGAGTTCCACACACCAATTACTCTAGAACGATTTGGAAACGAGAGAGTTACCCGCTGAAAACTTTGGCGAGGTATGGCAGATGCATTTCCATGCTGTGCTCGGCCTCGTCGACATCCACACGCATCTCCTCAAACTGCCCAGTTTCCTTGAGCTCTCTGTAAACTACAAAGAACTTTCACGACTTATAGGAAATCCAATGCAAGAAAGAATACCATCTAGATCGATAGGAAGATCTCCCAGTGGAGTTTTGTAAACAGAAGTTCTCGAAAGAGCACACTTGCGAGTGTAGTGATGGTGAGATGGCCCAAGGATAAAAACTCTAGATCTGGAACAAAGATAAAATTTGAGAAAAGTAGCAAGAGTCGTGCAAGGAAGAGCAAACTTACACGACTTGTGGATCTATATTCGCGAATGCGAAGGCAGCGCAGCGTCCAGAGTAACGATATCCAGCATGCCTGCAAGAATTGACGTTCTTGCTCGCAAGATTTTCAAGAAAGAAGAAATAATTCCCACTCACGGAGCAATCACAGCTCGCGCGTCCGGCTTCTTTGGAAGACCAGAGCCTTTGAGCCATCCATCCAGCTCCTCGCGAAGCTCCAGCGCTGCCACATTCAAGAAAACCCCAATTTCACCCCCAAATTCCCGAAATTCGAGACAATGCTCACCATCATCGGAGTACCAAGATCCAGCGTGAGATGCTTGACGCGCCATGGCCTCGACGCCCCTGCCTCTCCACAATCGCCGGTAGAAGCTCAGGCAGAATGGGGCCGTCGCGCGTGATTTCCACTCAAACGTCTGTAGCCAAGAGCCCTAATGTTTTTCTCCAGAGTCTAGGGTTTTATTTAGGGTTTAGCCATGGCGGGGATGAAGCGGAGGGGAGGAGCCGCACCCGGGAAAGAGAAGAGGGCGAGGATGACACTGGAAGATCAAATTGAGAGCGAGACCGTGGTTTCGAGCAGGGCGAGGTCCAAGAAATCCAAGAGCAAGCAAGAGAATGACGATGTAGGAGTTTTTTCCTGCTTGATCGAATACTGGGCTAACATTCGTGTTGTACAGTACGTGGATGCTTCTATGAGCGGCAGAATTCTTAAAGAGGCAAGGAAACAAATGAAAGAGATCCAGAAAGAAGAGTACGTCCTCGCATTTTTTATCATCTCTCGAGTGTTGAGAGGCGTTTTCTCGCCGACAGGGATGAAGAGGATGAGCGCTCAAACGCTGGCAAGGCTTTTGAGGCTCTAGAAAAGAATGTGGCCGCCAACGAGACTGACGATGAGGAGGATGATATCTTTGACAGCAAGAGCGAGTTTGATCCAGCCGAAGGTCACGTAAGTCGAATGAGAAAATGTTGCTCAGACCTTTCGCTTGATCTTATATTTCCCTTCTCTGCAGGAGATTTCGGAAGAAGAAGAACGCATTCTTTCTATGTTCATGGCCAAGGACGCGCCTCCGCAGCGTACGCTCACAGACATGATCATGAGCAAAATTCAAAACTCCAATGCTACGCAGGACCTATTGAAGGATGAAGGTACGAATCAACGTGTTTACACGCATTCCATGGAAACAAAATCGATTTTTCGCAGGAAGAACTGTTCCCGGGTTTGATCAAAAGGTCATCGACGTATATCGTGGGCAAGTTCTTTCCTCTGTTTATATTTGACATTGATAAGAACCGTGCTATGTGTACTGCAGCGTTGGGAAGCTTTTAAGCCGATACACGGCCGGGAAGTTACCAAAAGCTTTCAAGATTGTTACAGCTCTAGCCGAGTGGGAACAAGCTCTCTACTTGACAGAGCCTGAGAACTGGTCCCCAAACGCCGTGTACCAGGCAACTCGGCTTTTCGCTTCTAACTTAAACTCGCGGATGGCTGCGCGGTTTTATACACTGGTGCTGCTGCCTCGAATTCGCGAAGACATCCGGACCAACAAAAGACTTCATTTTGCTCTCTACCAAGCACTCAAGAAATCGGTCTACAAGCCCTCCGCGTTCTACAAAGGCATCATCTTTCCTCTCTGCTTGGTGAGCGTCTGATGATTCTTCCGAGCACAGAATCGCTTGCTAACTGTTTCCTTTTACTGTTTGGAATTGTCAAGTCGCAAACTTGCAACTTGCGGGAAGCCGTGATCGTCGGCAGTATCATTCAAAAGGTATCAATACCTGCGGGTCATTCAAGGTAAGTTCTTTTCCATTGTCTTCATATTTAGAAGAACAAATTAAAATTGTTCTTGTCCCAGTGTTGCGATACTTAAAATTGCCGAGATGGAGTATTCCGGTACAAACAGGTAAACGATAAACCTCTCATCTCTTTTCTATAGTTTTTCTTGTTCTTTGCTTTGCAGCTATTTTTTGAAGCTTCTGCTAGATAAGAAGTACTCGCTGCCTCACCGTGTCATCGATGCTGTGCTCTCTCATTTCGTGAAGTTCACGGAAGAAGAGCGCCAGCTCCCTGTTATATGGCACCAATGCCTGCTCACGTTTGTCCAGAGGTATTCGCCGAAAAGAAGGAAGTTTCTCTCCTTTGCTCTTTATTAATGTCGCGAAAGTTTGCCAGGTACAAGAACTCTTTAACCGAGGCCGATAAGGAGAGCTTGAAGCGACTGATGCGCCATCAGAAGCATTATCTGGTGAGAGACAAGTCGAGAGAAGAAAGTTTTGTTGCTCGTCCTGGACTTGATTGATTGACAAGGTTTTGTTTGATGGAACGCAGGTCACGCCGGAGGTCCAAAGAGAACTCCAACACAGCCTGAATCGCGGCCAAAAGGAAGAAGATGATATCCTTTGGGAAAGTCTTGCTCGCATTGTTTTCTCTTCTTTTCCTTAACCTTCCACCACTTCAGCAGCCGATGATGATCATCACTGGCGCCACGACTGAGGACGTCTGGGACTTGCCCAAGGTGGAAGTCGAAATGGAAGAGTGAGAAATGCCTCCCTCCACAATAAACGAATGAACCGCGAGCTGCGATTTTGGTGCTTCTTGATTGATGATTGATCCAATGCAGGACGGTATGTAGCATCTCCATCCATTTTATGTCTCGTACTGTAAAATGGTAGCTTCTTCCACCACTATCCAACTCTTCCTTTCACCATCAGCCTGTGGTGGCCTTGAGCAGCTCTGGGAAAAAGCGGAACTGTGAAATGAAAATGCGACCAGTGGTTTTCATTCTACCTGAGCACAAGTGTAGATGATGACTGTCAACCATTCCCAATCGTTGGGGCCGTAGGACGTAGAAGGGAGATCTTTACAAGCTTGCTGCAGATAGTAGAGAAGCGGTGGCATGAGCTGCATCTCATAAACACGAGGCCCTCGACACAAGGAGCAAACACCGGGATCCCCTTGATCTTTGTTCGCCAGCAACGCACGGCCACCGAAACTATACCTGAGCTCAACCAAAGCAAGTCTCAAAAAAACATGAACTGGAAACAAACTGACCAACCTGTAGCATTGTTCCGGGTAGCAATCCAATCTCTTTTTGAACTTCAAATAAGTCCTGTCAGCTGAAACGGTCCTATCGTGTTCGTATTCCTCCCCTTCCCAACACTCGTCCGCCGGAGCGGAATCGGTACCGGTACTAGCATCCAGACCGAAGTCCACAAGCCGTTCCGAGTTTTGTAGAGCGCTCACGGCTCTGCTGCCCCGGCACGGATGGGACTCGTTCTGGGAATAGATGTAAAAGCATGGTAGCACTGCATTGTCACCAATCTGTCAATAGCCTCGTCCTCAAAAGAGTGCCAAGGAAATGCGAAAACCACAAGTTGTATTACCAGGTAACTCGGCCTCAGTAATCTCCTCGCTTGACGTTGGTTCATCCTCATTGGACTCTCGTATCTCATGGCGCGTACTGGCCTGTGACTGCGGTCGAGCTGCCGCAGCATATCCGGCCTCGAGTAGAGCTTCTTCCAGTTCGTGCAATCCCATGCTCCCAGCCTCTTCCCCATTCTCAGCCTGAGCTATAGGAGCCCACGAGGAGTCGTCCTCCCACCAATCATTCGAGTTTTGATCGTCTCTAGCGGATGAAGCTTCGGCATCATCACCAGACTCACCGGTTGAAGTCGATGGCGTATCGCTAGCCGGCGAGCACACAGGTGACGAGGGACCATCCTTCTGCAACCTCAATGTTCTCCAACTGGAATGTTCTTAGTTAGTAAAAGCTAAGTTGCATGGAAGAATGCTAGCAAGTTGAATATATATGGCTTTGTTTGTAGAAAGAACCTGAGAGGACTGATACCGCAGCTAGACGTGGGGCATCCAAAAATAAAAAGCACACGTTCTTCGATCTTGGTATTGTTGATCGATAACGGGGCATACACCTGCAAATGGAAACAAAAGCAAACTTTGAGATAACCTGGAAAAAGCTGGCACGGAAAAAGCAAAGATAATCGCAAGCAGGGAATAGGCATCACAGTATACATGAATTAAACCTGTGCAACGAGTCCCAATTCACCACCGCAAACACTGCATTTCAGCAAGCTGCTGTCGATCTCGTCAGAATCAAGCGGCCAATCCTGTTCCAGAAACGCGAGCTCCAAGTGAAATTCTTACGATCACACACAGCTGAGGAAAAAGAAACCAATTCTACCGGCAATCCCCCGACTTTGCTCGTGTAGTGATCGCTCATTTCTTGATTGTCCTCCGCCCATGGCCCAGGCATTCCCAGCACGACATTCTCATTTTCCTGCCGCTGAGAGCGAGAATTCAGCAAACGAAAGAAAGAAAGATCGCAGCTCACGGCGCTCGATTGCTTACAGCGTCCACAGTCGTGAGGTGTGCCGGAAGCGGGCGCCCCATCCGACCGATCGAATTTGCTTCTCCCGGGCCTCTCCCCGGCGAGGCGCTCTCAAAACCCTACCACAACCCTAGAGAATGAATGAATGAATGAAATGAAAAGATCGACCTTTCTCGAATCCCTTTACACGCATTTTTTTCTTGTTCTAAAGGGACACCATGGCAACCGGCTACCGCCGGTCTAGAATCGCGCCACGTGGACAAAACATTGCCTTGACGAACCCTAAAAATTATTCTCACTGGCTAGAATGCTACTCGAGGGAGTGGCAATCGCGGCGCCATCGCAGGTATGGGGCTTCGATTTCACGTATTTTCGACCACGCAGCTGTGAATCGTGTGTCAGGCTGCTGGAATCGGCGCTCCATCGAGGATCAGGGCGCCCGGAGTGGCAGCCAGATGTTTTGCTCGGCCTTGCGCGATGGAGCTTGAAAATCTAGCTCCAGGGTCAGGTACATTGGCTTGGAATCCTTTGCTCTTCCGCTCATTTGTACCCTGGCAGTGGATGCGAAGAAGGAGCTTAGCATGTCGACGGAGATTATGCAATTTAGCAGCGAATTCGATCCATTTGGAGCTCTTAGCACACCGCTGTATCAGACGGCAACTTTCAAGCAAGTAAGTTTCGATTCTGGTGTTGGAACGCTCGACGTTGATTTTTTTCTAGCCATCAGCTACCGAATGCGGCCAGTATGACTACACGAGAAGTGGGAATCCAACTCGTGATGCTCTTGAATCGTAAGCGTTCTCTTCTTTTTTTATCTTCATTTTCTAGCTCACGATCAAACGATTTGTAGGTTGCTAGCAAAGTTGGAGGGTGCTTCCCGAGCGTTTTGTTTTACCAGTGGAATGGCTGCGCTAAGTGCTGCATCCCATCTAGTTTCAGCAGGTGATGTCTGTATCCATTTTTCCAGCAGTTTCATTGTCGAAATCTTTTCAGGAGAAGACATAGTTGCAGGCGATGACATCTATGGCGGATCTGATAGACTTCTGTCCCGAATTACTCCAAATTCTGGAATCACTGTGAAGTAATAAGCTAGATATGAAGAATGTGGAGTTTCTTACTATGGTTTTTCAGGCGTGTAGACACCAGTAATCTAGAGGATGTTCGACGTGCCATATCTTCGTCTACGCGACTTGTGTGGCTCGAGAGCCCGACTAATCCTCGTCAAATCATCTCCGACATTCGGGTATATACATCAACTGCTTGATTCGTTCGTTTACCACCACATAACATGGTTTTGTAGGCAATCTCAAGAATTGCTCATGAGAACGGTGCTTTAGTTATGGTAGACAATAGTATCATGTCTCCGGCGTTGTCCAAACCATTGGAGCTTGGCGCAGGTATAATTTTTCCATCTTGTCCATTTAACTTACGGCTTGCGTGTGATCGATTGCAGATATTGTCATGCATTCGGCAACTAAATTTATTTCCGGCCACAGCGACCTCATGGCTGGTGTGCTTGCTGTCAAAGACGATGAGTAAGTCTATATCACTTTGTTTCGTATCTAAGCCAGTGAGCTGCTTATTCCAGATTGGCAAAGAAAATTTACTTCCTCCAAAACGCCGAAGGAACCGGCCTAGCACCCTTTGATTGTTGGGGGTGCTTGCGAGGGATCAAAACCATGCCGCTCCGTGTGGAGAAGCAACAGGTACTGTTTAGAATATCTTGCTTCTCAAACACTGCTCCTTCTTTCTTGTAGCAAAATGCCCAGGTGATAGCGGAGTACCTGGCCTCACATCCAAAGCTCGGCAACGTTCGCTATGCGGGATTGCCCAGTCACCCAGGACATGAACTTCATTACAGCCAGGTAACTCTTCCATATGGTTGTCTTCTTCATCCAAACGCATAAATCTTTCCAGTGCATGGGAGCTGGATCTGTTCTAAGCTTTTACACGGGCTCGGTCGCAGTTTCCAAGCACATCGTCGAGCAAACTCGGCTTTTCAGCATCACAGTGAGCTTCGGTAACTTCATCTTTGAGAGTTTCTCCATTCCTTCTAAGATCTGGTGTCTCAGGGAGTGTGAAATCGCTGATAAGCTTGCCGTGCTTCATGTCCCACGCGAGCATCCCCGTGGAAGTCCGCAAAGCTCGAGGCCTCCAGAAAGATCTCATAAGGATCTCTGTGGGCATCGAGGACGTGAATGACTTGGTAGAAGATTTGGAGCAAGCCATCGCTAGCGCTCCCTGGGATTGACCCAACACTGGTTTCCTTCCAGCCAATTTTCTTCCGGCGGGAAATATACACCTTTTATCATCTGGGAAGAACTAGGGTTTATACTCTGGTCAGGGTTTAGGCAGTGATTGATGGCGTGTGCTGCCGCTGGCGCGATAGGGCTTGGAAATCTAGGCGCTCGTCCACGGATCTACTCCGGCGCCTCCAGCGATGGCATTTTCAAGCTCGCGGCTTGGAATACTCTGGCCTGGTCTCGATCTTCCTCAATCCTGGGTGCTGCCGTGAGCTTCTCGAGCCGATCGGTCAGCTCTCGCCGAAGATTATCGCGAGTAGTGCTCGTGGAGGCCAGCGATCAATCGACTGCGTTGTCAGGTTCGTTCCTTTGCTCTATCTACAGTCGTTTACACTATTCCCACTCGATGGCATTTTCATAGATGGAATCATCTGCCTTGTGATTGGAGGCGGTGGTAGAGAGCACGCGCTTTGCTACGGCCTCCAGCGAGCTGCGAGCTGCGATGGTGTGTTTTGCGCGCCAGGGAATATTGGGATCTCCATCGCGGGGGATGCTACTTGCATTGCCGATCTCGACGTAAGCGATAGTGTTGCAGTGATCTCGTTTTGTAAGCGGTGGGAAGTTGGCTTGGTTGTCGTCGGTCCTGAAGCTCCGCTCGTCGCGGGGCTTGTCGATGATCTCGTCGAGGCTGGGATTCCAGCTTTTGGCCCTTCAGCCTCCGCCGCAGCGCTAGAAGGCTCCAAGTCTTTCATGAAGGACTTCTGCGACAAGTACAAGATCCCCACAGCCAAGGTTGGATTTTTCTTTCTTTCCTATAGACTTATTTTTCATTTTTCTTGCAGTACCGGAGCTTCACAGATCCATCGGCCGCGAAGCACTACATCTCCGAGGAAGGAGTTCCAATAGTTGTCAAGGCTGACGGGCTTGCTGCCGGGAAAGGTGTGACCGTCGCCATGAGCTTGGAAGAGGCTTACGAGGCTGTGGATACGATGCTCGTCCAGGGAGCTTTGGGCTCCGCTGGCGGAAAAATCGTCGTGGAAGAGTTTCTTGACGGGGAGGAGGCTTCGTTCTTTGCAATCGTGGACGGTCACACGGCTCTTCCACTGGCTTCCGCTCAAGATCACAAGCGTGTTGGCGACGGTGACATTGGTCCTAACACGGGTGGCATGGGAGCATACTCGCCGGCGCCTATGGTCGACTCGCGCCTCGAGTCCTTGGTGATGGATACTATAATTCTCCCTACAGTCAAAGGCATGGCCGAAGAAGGTTGCAAGTACGTTGGAATACTATATGCCGGGTTGATGATCGACAAAAAGACTGGAATTCCCAAGCTCCTGGAGTACAATGTTCGTTTCGGGGATCCAGAGTGCCAGGTAAAACTTCTTCTCTTACTTCTTTCAGTTCATTGTTTATATGTCTAACTAAATCTCTTTTGCACGGGCTTTAGGTGCTAATGATGAGGTTCGAGTCAGATCTGGCAAAACTGCTATTAGCTGCATGCAAGGGTGAACTCAAGGACATCGAAGGCTTGAAATGGACAAAAGATCCTGCATTGGTAGTGGTTCTAGCGAGCAGTGGATACCCAGGAAACTATAAGAAAGGGACTTTGATCAAGAATCTAGACGAGGCGGAAGCAGCGGTCAGGGGCGTAAAGGTATTCCACGCAGGAACAGACGTAGACTCGGATGGGCATATAGTGGCCGTGGGTGGCAGAGTTTTGGGTGTCACAGCACTGGGAAAGGATATAGCCGAGGCACAGAACAGAGCTTATCAAGCCGTGGACGTGGTTTCTTGGCCAGATGGTTTTTGCCGTCGGGATATCGGCTGGAGGGCTGTAGCACGGCTTGCTGAAGCCAGGCATCGGCACAGATAAAGAGCGAGCGATCCGGGCACAGGGAAGCGAAAAAGAATAAGAAAGGAGGAAGAAGGCTGTTTGGAACTTTAACTGAAATATGAATTAACTGGCGGTTATAGCTCGCTCAACGATTTTCTGGAAGAGCATCGTCTCACAGGGTCGGTTGTAGGAGAACAGGGCTTTCATTCGTGGGTGTCTGCTGAAGTAGTAGCTTGGAATCTCTCGTGGAAATCCAGCGAGTGTCGGATCTTTGATGATTTGGACTGGCCTCCACCGGTGGATGTGGAAAGATGTCGCGTCCACTGCCCTTGGGAAGCGTGATCGGCTACAGCGGAACCGTGCCTGGTGGCATGGTTCTTCACCCGGACAAGTCGACGCTCGTCTATGCGCTTGGGACTTGCATTGTTTTGAGACACCGGGTATGATCTTTTCCTTTTTTCGGTTCTTCTTTTTGTCTTCATCGAAACTTTTTTCTAACGTCTTGGTTGTTTCAGGGCGATGATCACAACCAAGAGTTTTTGCAAGGACACAGCAACAAGGTGTCCTGTTTGGCCATCTCAAGAAGTGGAAAATATTTGGCAACAGGACAGGTGAAATGTCACTTTCTCCATTTTAAAGTCTAACTTGTCCCTCTAAATGAACAGGTTTCGTACATGGGATTTACGACAACCATTATCATCTGGGATCTGGAGGAGCGAAGGATTCTTCACCAGCTGAATTTGCACAAGGTAAATCCCATTCGGGAAAAGATTACTGAAGTCAGCTATGATTTTGCGACAGGTGAAAGTGGAGTCCTTGAGCTTTTCTCCCTGTGAAACTTTCGTGGCATCAACTGGAGGTCAAGATGATGGGAAACTGGTCGTTTGGTATGTGAAGTCGGGCAAGGCGGTTTGTGGCAGTCCGACGCCAATCGACTATGCTCAGTGCGTGTGCTTCTTCAATTGCACAAGCACAAAACTCGTCACAGCTGCATCAGCTAAGCTGACCATTTGGGAATTTGACGAGGGAAACAGGCAGCTTCGGCCATACGATTGCCAACTTGGTAAAATCAGGCGAGTGTTGCAAACAATTGTAAGTGCTGGTTCAGGCTAAAGTTCGTGGTCTCATCTTGATGCATTGCCAGGTTATTGATAGTAAGGACGAGTACGTATATGTTGGAACTCAAACTGGAGATGTTCTTCAGGTTTGTTATTTTCTTTTATGTATATTTTTCCTCCTGTTGCAATTCTCCTTACTATCGCCCTGTTGTACTATGCAGGTGAGTTTGGGTCCGAAATTGTTTCAAAATCATGGGCCTAAGCAAAAGCTTTGCATGGGAGTACAATCTACGATATCGACGCCCTTTGACGACCTACTTGTCGGGGGTGGAGATGGAAACATTGTACTCCTGAGGTCTGGAACTTTGAAAACGGTTTCCTCTACCAAAGTTCACGGTAGTGTCACTGCAATGGCCAATGGTAATGCTGATCAAAGCGGATCTTTCGAGTTCTTTGTTGGAACTTCCAAGAGCAACATGTATCTCGTCAAGTAAGCATTTTCTTTAATTCTTTTCCAGTTACTGATAAGCCGCTGCCAGAACGCTGTTATAGGTATGATGCAAAAAGGAATATGATGGCCTCACAACTCATTCATACTTGCCATTACGACAAAATCAATGACATCGCTTTTCCATCGGGCTACAGTGAAGTCTTTGCTACGTGCTCGATGGATGATATTCGTATATGGCAGCTGGAAAAGTGTCGAGAGCTACTTCGGATTCAGGTAAGTTTTTTACTCGATAAGCAAACAAGATGAAACGCCTGTTTTTTTCATTAATTCAGGTCCCCAACCAGAAATGCATGAGCTTAGCATTTATGCCCGACGGAAAGTCCCTCATTAGCGGCTGGAATGACGGCCGGATTCGGGCCTTCGGGCCACAAACAGGAAAACTACTCTATACGATACTCAATGCTCACAAACTGGTAAAGCTCTCTCTTTTATCTCCTTTTGTACTGACGCTGACAAGCAGGGCGTGACGGCAATCACAGGCACATCCGACAGTGGAAAGATAATCAGCGGTGGCGTGGATGGTCAGGTGATTCTCGAGCTTTAATCTTTTTAGCACACAGCACGAATTTTTTTGTCCTGACAGGTGCGTGTATGGAGGATCGGCCCCCAAAGTCACAGCTTGATCGCGACGATGAAAGAGCATGTCGAAGTAGTCAACGGCGTCCAGGTACCGATATCTTTTCTGATCGCGGGGGCACAACTTGAAAAGTTTGTTTCCTTTTCCTTTCCCGCGGTGTTAGGTTCGAAAAAACGACTCGGAATGCGTAAGTTGCAGCAGCGACGGCTCGTGCATTGTGTGGGATCTTACTGTAAGTCCTGGCTACGAGATTTTCTTCCCTCCTCACGACTCCCGTGGCAATGGCAGCGATTTACAAGAAACAACAGTATGTTCGCGTCTACTTTCTTCAAGGCCATCCAGTACCACCCTGACGAGAGCCAGCTTCTTACAACCGGAACAGACCGCAAGGTTGGAACACACTTTCATTATCTCCTGGCTTTGAGACTGGCAACGCTGAGAGATTTTCCATTCCAGATAACGTACTGGGATGCCTACGACTGCGCGGCGATCCGAATCGTAGACGGATCTCTGACCTCGGAGATGACCGCGCTGGACATAAGCCCCGACGGCACCGCGTTCGTCAGCGGGGGATATGACAAGGAGGTGCTCCTGTGGAACTACGACGAGGGCCATCCTTACTTCACAGGGAAAGGACACAGCGAGCCCATCACCAAGGTACGAAACTCCATTCGTGTAGAACGAGGACATGTAGATATAGATGGCTTGAAGATAGTTGGATAGGATCTAGAAGCTGTCTTGTGTGTCAGCTCATCGTCACCAAGGTACGAGGCTCCATTTGCGTGGAACAATGAGGTTGAGATATAGATGGCTTGATAGATAGTTGGATAGGATCTAGAAGGTGTCAGTTTTGGTTTCATTCCTCGCTGCCGTGTTGAGTTCTCACTTATCTCGTGTGTGTTCCAGGTGAAGATAAGCCCCGATCAGCAACACGTAGTCTCGGTGGGGGAGGAAGGTGGCATTTTTATCTGGGACTACAAAGCTCCAACGTCGGCATCCACGAGCCCCGCCAGCGTTGGAAGCCCAGCCAGCGGAAGCCCAGAGCTGTGAGGAAAGGATTTGGAGAGATCAATCAAGCAAAGCGAAACGACCAAAGCAAAGAATTCACTGTTAGAAAACGCATCGTGGGTGGGACAGTATATAGATACGGCGTCTTTTGTGTGGTGACACAACTGGCCAACAAGCGAGCGCACAGCCGCAAAGGGGAAAAGAGAGGAAAAAAAAAAGAGGGAGAAAGAAATAAAAGGAGGATCCTCAAAGTTTTTAAGCTCGCTCCTTCATTCTTTTTTTGTGTGCCTCGAGTTTGGCGACGCGCAAGATCGGATTTTTGCGGCTTCATCCGTGAGGAGGGGATCAAATTTTTCCTGGCGCGAGCATATAGGTAGAGCCCTTCCATCAAGCAATCAATCGAGAAGGGGGTGGAATTCTATCAAATCCAGCAAGGAAGGATAGGCTGGATGCAATCCCCGGTAGTAATCCCCGCGCCCTCATCGTCGCCATGCTCGTCCTCGCTCATGGCGGCCGCGAGTAGCGCCCGCCATGCATCGCTCTCTTCCCCTCCCTCCTCTAGCTCCTCGTCCATCTCTCAGTCGCGCGCGACAGCCGCCGCGGCCAGCCCGAGGTCGCCAAGCCCGAGGTCCAGCCCGAGGAGGTCCGGCTCGGTCCTGGAGCACACGGATCGCGCCGGAAAGGTGGACATTGGAAAGGAGATCGAGCAGCAGCGGCGGCAGCGGCAGGATCTGGAGAGTAAGGCCAAGAGCGGGCTCGTGGGATTCGACAAGTTCGTGCGCTCCAACCCACTCACCGACCGATTCAAGGTGCTGTGCTTCCACCACGTCGAGCTGTGGTGCGGCGACGCCACCAACACCTGGCGCCGCTTCTCGTGGGGGCTCGGCATGCCGCTCGTCGCCAAGTCGGACCAGACCACCGGCAACCACGTCTACTGCAGCTACGCGCTCCAGTCGGAGGACCTCGTCCTCGTCTTCTCGGCCCCCTACTCGGACAAGCACCGCTACCAGCCGGCCTCGCCGCCACCCCACCCGGCCATGACCAAGCCCGCCATGCTCGACTTCTTCGACGCCCACGGCCTCGCGGTCCGGGCAGTCGGCGTCCGGGTGGAGGACGCCGCCACGGCCTTCCGGACGAGCGTGGAGCACGGCGCCATCGCGGTGCTCGAGCCCACGACCATGCACGACGTCCACTCCGGCCAGGAGCTCGTGCTGTCCGAGGTGGCGCTCTACGGCGACGTGGTTCTTCGATTCGTCAGCGGCGGATTCGACGGCCCCTTCCTCCCAGGCTACGAGCGCGTGAGTCCGCCACCTTTCTCGTCGTCCCCCTCGGGGCTTGGAGTCGGGCTCTGCCGGCTGGATCACGCCGTCGGGAACGTCCACAACCTGCTGGACGCCGCGCGGTACGTGGCCGGCTTCACGGGCTTTCACGAGTTTGCCGAGTTTACCGCCGAGGACATTGGCACCTGCGAGAGCGGGCTGAACAGCATGGTCCTGGCCAGCAACAACGAGATGGTGCTGCTGCCCATGAACGAGCCGGTGCATGGCACGCGGAGGAAGTCTCAGATCCAGACGTACTTGGATCACAACGAGGGGCCGGGCTTGCAGCACTTGGCGATCTCTTGCCGGGATATCTTTCATACTTTGAGGGAGATGAGGATGAGATCTCACATCGGGGGGTTTGAGTTCATGCCCAGGCCGAACAAGAAGTACTACAAGGACTTGCCGGAGAGGATTGGATCGAGCCTGACGCCCGAGCAAGTGGAGATGTGCGAGGAGCTCGGGATCCTGGTTGACAAGGATGATCAGGGGATTTTGCTCCAGATCTTCACCAAGCCTGTGGGTGACAGGTATGTGTTTTCTTTTCTCTCTGTCCTTTGGAAAGATTCGATGTTCTATGGCTTTTTGTGTAGGCCAACTTTGTTCTTGGAGATAATCCAGAGGGTGGGATGCATGGAAGAGAACGTCCAGCGAGGAGGGTGTGGGGGATTTGGCAAGGGGAACTTTTCGGCGTTGTTTAAATCGATTGAGGACTACGAGAAAACTCTCGAGCGATGAAACAGGAATAGATTTTTTTTTTTTTTTGTTTTTTCTGTTATGATTTTTGGGTCAAATATAATAAATTTGCCTGTAACATGTATCCTAACGTGCCAGTAGCGGGTGGTGAGAAAAGATTGGCCATGGCCAGAGGTTCCTTGGTATGTTGTAATTACATTTTTCGCAGGACTCCATGCTCGTCCTGACTACCTTTGAGGTTGGCAACTTCAAACAGGAATCGGAGAGCCTGGAAGTCCTGAATATCTACAAGCTCAACAGGAAATGTGACAAACTCCAGAGCTTGGAAATTGGTGGAGACTGGGAGCTGGATGAATTGGTGAGGCACAATCACAGAGCTTACCTTAAGATGAGCATTTCCCTTCTGCTGGAGCTTGCAAATCGTCAGTTTCGGCACTGGCTCCTTACAGCTACTTTGTGGTCTTCAATTTTCTACCCTGTAATCTTCTTCTTGTAGGCGCTCGAAGGCAAAGGCAATCCACGTAGCTTGGAGACACTTGATTTCCACCTTTGGTTGAATGTTTGCGATTACCCTGATGGCGATATCTCTTTCTTGAGGGCTTCGTAAACTTGTGGTCCATTGCTTTGATCTGATCAACAGGATGTCACAGACCGTGGAAGACATTCCTGGAAACTGGGAAAGTTCTATCCTTCACTGACAAGTGAGATCAAACTCCAAAACTTTTGTAGCGAAAGGCCTTCTCATTAGTGATAGTTTTCTACTACAATCTTACCCAGCTGTTCTCCTTGAACAGTGAACGCTCAATCTATAGCACCATCGAATTTAACATAATCCAAATTCCTCTTCTAGCGCTATATGTTATGGTTATTGTCCTGTGATTCGCTAGCAAGCTTGAAAAATTAAAAATCAAATTTAAGTTATACGATACGTATATGAGAGAGAATTAAGGGCCCCTCGTCTTAAATAATCCTGTTATGCAAAAAAGGTTTTGTTTAAATAAGAGCAAGCTCTTCCCTACGTGGCATCTTCAAAACTTTGAAATTTTCGGTCTTGCCAATTCGAATCCTGTTCTTCGGTGGAGGCATTAGTCATCATTTAGCCCTCCAAATCTCCCTAGCTACTCATGTAATAATAATAATGTATGTTTGATATTCTTGCAAAGATTTCTTTCTGTGCCATGGCAATCGAAAAACTAGTAAGATACCAGGGAGAAGCGTCACCCCAGTCCCATGGACAAGACACGAAGAGCGAATATGCTCATCAGCGCCCTCGGACGGTCCGGGAGCGTCCAAGACGCGCAGTGCGTCTTCCTAGCCATGGATCAAAGGAATATCTTCTCCTGGAATATCCTTCTTGCGGCATATGCCCAGTCCGGGCATATGCTTCCCGCCCGCGAGGCCTTCTCCAAGATGCCCCAGCACGACGCAATATCGTGTGGAACGCTGCTCAAGATCTTCTCGCAATGCGGCATGATCGCCCACGCAGAGGCGATCTTCGCTTACATCCGCGACCCCGACACGATCGCCTGGAGCGCTATGATCACAGCACACGCCCGAGCTGGGCAAATTGATGCCGCCAAGAGCTACTTCGATCGCGTGCCTCGTCGGAACGTCGTGTGCTGGAACGCGATGATCCAGGCGTGCAATCTCTCTGGAATTCCAATCGAGGCAAAAATATTCTTCGATAGAATGCCGCTGGCGGATGTAATCTCCTTCACGAGCATGATAGCGGCGTATTCCCAGACCGGGCACTTGGAGCGCGCGCTGGAAATATTTGCGCTTCTTCCTCGCCCGGATCTCGTCGCCTGGAACGCGCTCATGGCGGCATTCTTGCGCTCGGATCGATTCGACGAGGCCGTAGAGATCTTCCACGCCATGCCGGATCGAAGCGTGGTGTCGTGGAACGCGCTCATCACGACCTACGGGCAGAGCGGGCGCTGCGAGGACGTGGAGAGGACTTTCTTGGCGATGGCGAGGAGAGATCTCGAGTCTTGGAACTGCGCCATCCAGGCGGAGCTCCAAGATTCTGGAAGAGATGATCACGGCCTCGCGGCAGCAGCAGCATTCCTGGAGAGAATGCCGCAGTGGAGCGAGATTTCTTGGAGCCTGATGGCGCAGACGTACGCTCCCACCGGGAAATTCCAAGCTCTACTCGAATCGACGCTGCCGGATCTGCCGCTCATGACGTGGAACGAAATGATCACCGCGCACGCCCTGAACGCCAAGATCGAGGAATCCAAGCGGCTCTTCGACTGGATGCCGCAGCGCGACGTGATCTCCTGGAATCGCCTCCTCCAGGGCGTGGCGAACGAAGAACAAGAAGATCAAGATCGAGAGCTACTGGAAGAAATCTACCACCGAATGCCCGCCCGGGATCTTATTGCTTGCACGACGATGATCGGCGCCTATGCCGGCCTAGGATCGCTGCTCCAGGCGCGCGATCTCTTCGATCGATCGCCCCAAAGAGACAAGACGCTCTGGAATGTGATGCTCAGCGCCTACGCCCAGAATGGGCGAGCCGACGAAGGGCGTGGATTGTTCCACGTCATGCCCCACACGGACGAGGTTTCGTGGACCGCGATGCTCGGCGTATATTCCCAACAAGGCCGCCCGGAAGACACCCGGGATATTTTCGAAAAGATGCCCAGGCGAGACAAGGTGGCCTGGAACGTACTAATCGACGGATATTCCCAAAACGGGCATTTAGAAGAAGCAAAAGAGGCGTTTGCAAAGATTCCTTGCTGGAATGCCATGCTTTGGAACTCCATGGTGAGATTATATGCCATGAGAGGGCATCCAGAGGCAACAAAGGGAGTGTTTGAGAAGATGCCACAGAGGGACATTATCTCTTGGAACTCCTTGATCTTTGGATATTCCCAGAACGGGTATATTCGCGAGCCCGAGCTCTTCTTCCACCTCATGCCCGAGTGGAGCACCGTCTCCTGGCTCGTTTTGATGGCCTCGCTCGCCCAAAACGGTCTCGCCGATCGAGCAAAATCCGTGTTTGATCGAATGCCCGAGCCGGACACCGCGTGCTTCGTCGCGCTCATGGCCGGATTGGCGTCCAACGGCAGCTGCCAAGAGACCATCGATCTCTTCCGGGCGATGAATCTCTTCGGCTGGAAGCCAAACGCGGACGCGTTCGTGATGATCCTCCACGCCTGCAGCCACTCGGGGGACGTGATCCAGGGGCGCGACTTCTTCGCCTCGATCCGGGAAGCCCACGGCCTGGAGCCGACGATCGAGCACTACTCCTCGATGATCGATCTCCTGGGGCGCTCGAGGCGGATCCAAGAGGCCGAGGAGCTCGTCCACAGCATGCCCTTTCTCCCGGACGCTGTGACCTGGACGATCCTTCTCAACGCCTGGACCGTGCATAGCGATCTGGAGCGAGGAGCTCGAGCCGCGATCGATCCCAAAAGCCCAGCTGCGAGCTACATTCTCCTCTCCAAAGTCTACGCCCCACCGGACGAGAAATTTTCTAGGAGTTGAAATTAGGGTTCTTCCGCCTTGCATTATTTTGTCGTGTTGTGGAGGAGATTCGAACCCCCGACCGGTGTGTGAGAGAGAGGGATAGAAAGCTAAGATGGACGCACGCCGCGCACACCACACACTGGGTGGCTTGATGCCCAGGCTATATTCCTTATCCCCTCGCTAATCCCTGGCTTTTAGACTAGAGCTTTAAGCGCCTCTAGGCTTTTGGCTACACACTGCCCAGCTTTGTCTCTCGAGAGCAGCGCTTCCATCCCCATCGCGCTTCCGGGAAGGATGGGATTGTGAGGAGTCGCGGCCATCCGGCATGGAATCGCTGCCGCCGGCGCCAGCTCCCTGGAGCTCCAGCAGCGCCAGCGCCAGCAGCACGGCGATTCTGGGGTTTTGGTGACGGCGGATCCGGGGGGGGCGAGGGGGTTCGCCGGGCCGTGGCTGCTGGCGCTGGTCTCGGGAGGAATTCGTGGGGTTTAGGGTGCGCAGATCCGAAATTCTGGACGAGCTCTCGACCAGGTATCGTCCAATCTCTTAGCAAGAACTAGGTGTGGTGTAGAGGCAAGGGAGAAACGTGGAGATCGATAGAGCGGGCAGCGCAGTACGCGAGAATTCTATGCGCCATAAGAGGAGGTAGCGTGGATTATCTTCGCGTTTCGTCTTCCTGGGGGGCATGGATTTCGATGGGACCGTGGATGGGGAAGCTAAAGAGGTGGTGACAGTGCCCGTGAGGCAAGACGACGATGGATCTAGCGGCGACTATGGTGAAGTGGAAGTCGACGGTGGTGGTGCTGGTGGTGGCTCCGGGCAGCAGCCGCAAGCATTGGAAGTTGTCACTACTGTGAAGACCGAGGCAGGGGTGGACACCAAAGAAAAAACTCTCCTGACTTACAGGAGAAGATCTTCTTCCTCAGCTCCTTCCACGGCGGCGACCACTCCACCACCACTTGTCACTCCCAAGCTCGAGGAAAACACGCGTCCTGTTCGTGCCAACCGGGGAATCAAGCGGCGGTATCCCGGTAAAGCGTTTTCTTCTTTTTTTCTCCATCTCCTCTCTGACTACAAGTGTTCGTCGACTTTCGACTTTCCATTTTCCAGGAGATGAGTCAGACGATACCGAATCAACTCGCAAGCCCGCTCGTGTCCGGAGCATGACAGAGGTTTTTGCCGAAAGTGCGAAGTATTCTTCTCAAAATGGTAAAGGTAGTGGATTGTCTTTTGTTTGGTTTTGCTTTGTTTTTGCTGCTTTGCTTGGCTTCCACCTGTTACGTTCTTGTGTTTCTTAAGTTTTATTTCATTAGTTGTAGAGGTCGGGCAGAGAGTTCCAAGACGCATGCGTCCGAAGAAAAGAGGCAGGCCTTCGAGAGCAAACGGCGGCAGGAAAGGTTTGAGTGGAATGAATTCCAGTGAGAACTCTGATCAGCCACGCCAAGGTAGCTTAAGCGCATGATGCATTAGATATGTTTATTTCACGTTCTTCGCTCTGCTGTGCTTTGTAGCGCCCTTGGTACTGAAGAACTTTGCGTTTCCAATCTGTGCAGGGAATTTGTATGTGTGCAAGCACGAAGGCTGTGACAAAGTATTCAGTGAACCTGGTGGACTATACCGGCATGCCCGAGTACATGGTGACAGACCATATGTTTGTCACTACGAAGGTTGCAACAGGGTAAGATCTTGAGCGTTGTTTCTCTGGCTTGAACTTCTCAAACTGTGATTTGTTCCAGAGATTCTTGGAAAGATCCAAGTTAAAGCGACATTATCTTATTCATACTGGCGAGAAGTCATTTGTTTGCCTGCACGAAGGCTGCGGAAAGGTGAGGAGTTTCCACGCTCGGATATTGTTTTCACTTGTGCTGATCCTGAGCAATGGCAGGCATTTTCTCTAGATTTTAACTTGCGCTCTCACATGAAGACGCACACCGGCGAGTACCACGAGTGCCCGCACGAAGGCTGCGAGAAGAAATACTGCCAGAACTACAAGCTCCGGGCTCATATGTGCAAGGACCACAACATGGTCGACGGCGACGTGCTCATGGACGCGCTCAAGGATCTCACTCCGGAGATGAAAGCGGCCAAGAAGCAGGAGAAGCTCCAAATGCTACTGACGAGAAGGGAGAGGCTGGACGACTGGCGCGAGGGGCGGAAGAAGCGGATCCAGGAGCTGGAGGTGGAGCTAGAGCGGGAGACCAAGGAGCTGGGCAAGATCGAGCGGGCGATGAAGAAGCTGGAGCGGGAGAAGGACCTGCTGGAGGTGGACGACGAGTCGGAGCTATCATCGTCAGACGACTCGATCGAGCCGGACATCGAGCAGGCGAGCTGCGAAGACAGGGAGGTGCTGGTGTTCGCGCAGAAGCTCCCAACGGCGGACCACGGCGCGAGGCTCGTGCAGGCCGACCCCAGGATGATCCAGCACTCGAGCGAGATGGTGGCGCTCAGGCCCAGCGGATTGCTACCGCCGGAGAGCTCCATCACCGAGGAGAAGATCAAGAAGGCGGACGCGATCGCGAGCAGCGCGAGTACCTGGCAGAATCACGCGCTCCAGAGCCAAGGGCAGAATCAAAGCGGCGATGGAGCAGCGGTGTGGTCATCGTCGTCGTCGTCCTCGCACAAGATGATCTTGCTGCAGCAATCGGAGCTCCCAGTGACGCATTTGTTCGCGTTCCAAGAACAGCCCTGCTTGGTGGACTAAAACCCCGCCAAGGAAGAAGAACACTCTTGCTATAAACCTTAAACCCTGAATCCTAGGGCACAAGGAAACTTTCCTAGAAAGGGCAAAAGGCGAAAAAAAAAGGTGTGGTTCCGTACGCCTCCACCAGCGTGGAATTATCTCCGGATGCGTTTGCAATGGGCCGCCATGTAGTACGGCACCAAACCACCCATGGAGAGGGACAGCTTAGCGACACGTGTGGCGCGGCGATTGACGAAAATCTCTGTGATTGGCTTTCTTCCCGGAAAACGTGTATGATGTAATATTGTATGGTTGGAAAACAAAATGGGACATTGGAGTGGAGACAAATCATTGGGTGAGAATTTTTTGCTATAATAGCATCCAACGGGAGGCATGGTATTTTACCTGGGGATCCGACGGCTGGGAGCCGGCCACGAAGTGCTGTAAGAACGGTCGATTTTTATCCCCGCCCGCCAGCAGGAAAGGCGAGCAAGGAAAGGTCTGTAGCCACATTGTAGAGCCCAGGACGGGATTAAAAGCTTTTAGGAGAGGTAGGGTTTCTAGGCAGGAGAGAGCTCCCCATTTTCTCGCTTTGTTCTTCGCGATCTGTGATGGATCCGGATTTCTTTGTCTGAATCTTTGGTTCTTTATCTCTTTATCCGTGAGAGATTTTCCCTTTTTTCTGTTCTTTTTGGTTGGATTTGGAGTGCTTTTTCATTCGTTTTGTTCTTTCTTTCTTCCTTGTTCTTCGTTTGTTTGAGAATCTAGTTCGATCGATCGCCAGGATTTGTGTGCTTGCTAGCCATGGCTGTTCGTCCTCGCAGCGCCTTCTTCTTCTGCTCCTGCAAGGCCTCCGGCGTTGATGGCGTCGACGAGGCGTAGCATCGCCTAGCGGAAAATGTCCACGAAGAGGTATGCTCCTTCACTCTTTCTCTTGGGAGATTTCGTCACGGCGTGTTATCATCCGCTTGGGACCAAATGTCCCTGCTTTCTCCGGGGATTCCTTTTTGTTTGCTCTGATCTTGGCATTCACTGTAGATGTCCAAACGATTCGCGTCTGATGCCTTTTTCATGCTAAAGTTTAGCTTTAGAGTTTCGAGATCTAGCACAGTTTCAAATAGAAAGAAAAGTGGAGAGGGGTTGCTTTGTCTGCTGCATTGAGTGAAACTTTCGTTTTCTTTTGTTTGGTCTATACGATCAATCCAAGCTTTCGTGTGCCAAGCTTGACACCGTGTTCTACTGTTTGCAGGCTGACTAGCTCACCGACAATGCGCCCGCTCGTTTCATCGCTCTTCTCAGCCGCTAAGAAACCAGCAGCTAAGAAACCGGCAGCTACTGCTACTATTTCAAAGGCAGGGGTTATAGACTGGCGACTCAACAAGCCAGAGATTATCAGCGTGGATAGCCTGGACCTCCACTACACGAGCCTCCGGGACGTGATGTTCCTCCAGTACCAATGCCACAGCACGGAGAGCGTGAGCGGCGGCGGCGGCGGCGGGAGCCCGAGAACTCGAATGAAGAACCATCTGGTGGAACAGGCCGCGCGGGCATACTTGCAGCCGCTCAACGTCGTCGACAACTCGACGCAGTTCTTCCCGTGGAACTGGCAGAAGATCATGGGCTATGCTCCGCTCACATTCAGCATGAGCATGCCCAGGCTCGTCACCGCCGGTGGTGGTGATGGTGGTAGTGGTGGTGGCAGTGGTGGTGGCAGTGGTGGTGGTGGCGGCGATCAGTGCTGCGGCCTCATGGGATTCTTCTCCAAGCTCAGCCTCTCCCGGACGCTCAAGTATCTCCTGGGGCGAGCAAGGCCGCCGCACGCTGGATTTCTGAACTTGTGAGTTATATGTATGCTGGTTGATTGTTGGCTAGTTGGCTTGTTCGTGAAAAAATTGGAAAAAATAAAATTACGCTATGTACAGTATGAATTTTGTCAATGTTAGCATGTTGTCACATGTTGTCACACAGTTTAAATGGAAACAGCTGGGGTGATTTGTTTTAGGTTTTGGATTCCTTTCCGCCGGCATAGTAGCGCAAAAGATTCTAAAAAGAGTGGGTCTTTTAGTGAATCAATGGCGAGTACAAGGACTGTGGAAGGATTGGCCAACAGACATTGCTCCTGGGAGGTGAAGAATTTGGGCCCTGTTTATGGTGAAGGAAGTTTGGAGGAGCAGTCTCCCAAAATTCCTTCTGCTCATATGAGACTGTCTGCTGGCCAATTTTTCCACAACACTAACAGCAGCTATGGCCCAATTGTGAGACGCCCAAGGTGGAGTTAGAGGTCGAATCTATCCGACGTCAAGCTGCTAGACAACCACAATAGGTACGTCCTGTCTAAGACTTACAACAATACTTGAGGTGGCCCTGATTCCTATGTTGCAGCTCAACTTTGCTCTTCTCCAAGAAAACAGGAGGGAGAGTGTCAACTTTTCGTTTTGGGAGCACAAATGGCATGCATAATCTTTGATTGTGAAGGGCACTGATTGAGCATTGGCTTGGACGTAGTGGGTGTTTTGGTTTGCTTTGAAATTTAATGTTTTTGGTTTGCTTAAGCAAACCTGTTATATCTAGAATATGCCTGAATATTATAGGATCTTTTACTATCTAACGGTTGTTATTCATTTAGATTAATTTTGTATTTATAATTTATAAACATGTTTATAACTTGCTTAAACACTTTTTAGTATATATTTTTTATTCTACCATCTTATGCAATAAAATTAATTTTGTGTTTATAAATTATAAACATGTTTATAATTATAAAATTTTATTTGATCAATTGAATTAATACATATACTATTAAACATTACTACATACAATGCGTAACAAATTATTTAAAGTTTTAATTTGAATTTTGTTCAAATGAAACAGTTGGAGTGGCTTCTTTTAGGTTTGCTTTTCTATGCTGCTTTGTAGATTGGAGGATGTTTCTGGAGACTGTGGAGTGGAATTTAGAGCATGTGTTACTCATGGTGAAAGAATTCTGGATGACTAGTATTAAAGAGGTGCCCATGGGGCAAAAGTTTGCCTAATGAGGAAGAAGAGGCAACCCCTTTTAGAGCAGTCGCCTAGATGAGTGGTGCACTCTTTTAAAATATGGTACTTTCTCTTAGTATTGATTCATGTGTCTAACATTTCCAATGCCCGTTTTAGAAACTCATGCTCATCTAACAAAACTTTATGTAAGACCTATAATGACAATGTTCTGATTCCATGTCGGAGCTCTTGCTCTTCTCAGGAGGGATTTCTGTCGGGCACACTGATCGGATAGCGCGGTTAAATTTGCGCCAAGAGTGTTTAACGGAAAAACGCTGGAGAGTTTAGGGTTCTTACCCAGGAACCCTAATATCCGAAGCTCCATAGGGCGGCACTACCACCAGGTCTGCGCATTCGCTTTATCTCGACTCCCCGCGCACTACATCCAGCGACCGAGGCCGCAGCCAAGCATCTGGCTTCTCATCCCGGCGCTCAGGGCATCGTCCGCGATCCAGGAGCTAGAGCAGGGCCGGATTATCCATGGGGAAGCCGCCGCTCGCTCCCTCGATTCCAATTCCTACGTCGCCAGCGCGCTTGTCACAATGTACTCCCGCTGTGGCAGCACCGTCGACGCTCGGCGGATCTTCGATCTCACCCCCGCGGGCCACAGCCTCGCCTCTTGGACGGCGCTCATGCTGGCCTACATCGATTCCGGGGATCCCTCCACGGCGCTCGATCTCTTCCACTCCAGGCCGCGGGCGATCCCCACCCCGGATGCCAGGGCATTCTCCGCGGCGATCAGGGCGTGCTGCGAGCTCGCATCGATGGAGTCTGGCGTGGAGCTCTCCCCCGGGAGAGTGGTGAAGCTGAGGGCTCTTGAGCAAGGCATGGCGATCCACGCGACGATCGATGCTTGCTGGTGCTCCAGGGATTTTTTCCTGGCCACCGCGCTGGTGGATTTCTACGCGCGGTGTGGCAGCGCAAGGGATTGCCGCCGGGTGTTCGATCAGATCGATGCCCCGGACGTGGTGGCGTGGACAGCGCTGGTGAATGGCTACGCGGACAATGGAGAGGCGGCGCTGGCGCTGGAATCGTTCAAGATCATGGCGGGCAGCCGGAGCTGCGCGGATCCAGACGCTCGGTGTGTCCTCGCGGCGATCAAGGCGTGCATCGCCCTGGCAGCGAGCGAGAAGCCGCGAGAGATCTCGACTGGCGGGAAGAACATCGCGGTGAAAATGGGCGCTCTTCGCGAGGGGATGGAGCTCCACGCCCGGGCCAGGCGATGGGGATTCGAGCGCGAGGAATTCGTGGGCGGCGCGATCGTGGACATGTACGCCAAGTGTGGGAGCTTGATCGACGCGCGCATGGCGTTCGATCGCCTCCCAGCCCACAGCGCCGTGACTGTCAGCTCCATCGCCTCCGCCCACGCCAGCGCCGGCGAGGGCGAGCTCGCGCTGGAGCTCCTCCTCTCGCGCGAATTGTGGCTCGATCGTCTTCCTCTCTCGGCCGATGCCTGGGCGATGAGCGCCGCGCTCAAGGCGTGCGCCACCGCCGCCTCGTCGCTACCCCTCGCGCAATCCATCCACGAGCGGATACTCCGCGCGGGGATGGAGATCCTCCCCGTCCTCCACGCGGGGCTGATCGACGCCTACTGCAAATCCGGGAGCCTCCGCCACGCGCAGTGCCTCTTCGCGGCATCCGCGAGCAACGACTCCATCGCCTGGAACGCGCTCCTGGCGGGGCTGAGCCACGGCGGAGACATCGATCGCGCGCTGGAGCTCTTCCGCCAGATGATCGACGAGGGCATTCCTCCCGTGGGCGCGAGCTTCGTGTGCGCGATCTCGGCTTGCAGCCACGCCGGGATGGTGGATCGCGCGCGGGGGCTCTTCGCGGCGATGGGGAGGTGTGGAGTTCCTCGCGGGATCGAGCACTACCACTGCATGGTGGACGTGCTGGGCCGCGCCAACCGGCTGGAGGAGGCGGTGGCGATGGTGAGGGGAATGCCGCATGAGCCCACCGCGGTTACGTGGAGGACGGTGCTGGGGGCCTGCCACAAGTGGAAGAACGCAAAGGTGGCGAAGGTGGCGTTCCAAGAGCTCGTCAAGATAGATCCCAGCGATCCGGTCGCGTATAACCTCATGGCAAATGTAAGGGTATTTACATAAATCAGATCAATATGGATTCTGATTTTATTCAGTTGCCCTTAACCCTGATAAAGTTGATCGTCTCTCAAGGGTGGTGTAGGGCAAAGGATTAGCAACTCTCGAGGAGAATGAAGCGCGTGCATGGCAGCAACATCATTGACAATGTTGAAAGGTATTTCCTCGATATCGATCCCATACTCTTTCTCAGAACTTCTTTCCATGGCAGCTCGCCTCCAATAGACGCATCCATCTGGGCAAATCTCCCGCTCGATTTCCAGCTCAAGCTTCTCGATCACTTCCCTCTCCAGGCTCTCTTCCGCGCCAAGCTCGTCTCCAAATCCTGGCGCCAGGGCGTGCTCTCCCTCTGCGACACCAGGTGGTTCTACATCTGCCGCAACAAGATGGCGAGCCCTGGGGAGAAGCACTGGAGGCCTCTTCCGCTGGATTACCTTCCAAACTTCCCGGAACAGCTCCTCCGTGTGCGGGCAGCAACGTCGACGGGCTGGCTCCTAGTGGAGACCATGGATGCCCAGCTGATCGTCACCAATTTCCTCACTCGCAGCTGGACTGGGCTTCCACCACTGGACTCGCACACTGGTACCATCATCAGCTTCCAGGCATTCCCAGACTCGAGCTTTTGGGTGGTCTATGGCTTGAACAAGAGAAATATCACCATGCCGGCGTTGGAGTTCCCTATTCACGACACCCTGGAGCTCCACATTTACTATCATTGCTGTGGTGCGGCAGAAGTGGCGGCCTGGGAGAGCTGGGTAGTGGACATTGGAGCTGGCCAGATCCTGGCATCACTTCCCATGCTCGGATTTTGCAGCGATGAAAGCCATTTTTTTTTCATCACCAGGACGAGTTTAGGGGAGAAGGAGTACTCGCTCAAGTCTGTTAGCTTCCTTGATCGAGACTCGGGGACGAGGACTCTGGCGCGATGGAAGAGCCTGCCGCCGGGATTCATGGTCAGTGACAAGCGCACCTCCCCCGTATTTGACGTGTATCCCCTGCCGGTTGTCTGTGGTGGACGAATCCTCTTCCCGTGCATGCAAACAAGCAGCGGTGGCGATAGAGGAGTCCCAGCATTGCTGCTCCTGGACGAGAGGTTGGGGCAGTGGCAGCCCTTTGTGGCAATGCCGCTGGATGATCCGGGGCTGGTTCCTCGGGAGATACTTAACTGGGAGCTGTTAGTTAGCGCTGGGGCCTGCGAGGACGAGGTAGTCTTTGGTCTCCTCGCGATTGGCTTCCTGGGCGTCTACAAGATCTCGAGCCGGACATGGTCGCCACTGCCGCTGCCGGACTGCAAGAGGAGGTCTCTCTGCTCTATTATACCCTTCAAGTATCAGAGAATTGTCCCTCCCTCCTTACTAGCTAGAAATGATAAAGAATAGAAAGCTCGTTTGCGCAGTAGTGTCCATTGATCTTTGGAACATGAAACTATAACAAACACAAATATAATAGATACTATTCTGGAATCTAGGGCTACTAGAATCTTTGCAGAGAATATGCTGTCCGAGATGCCATTTTAAATTTAAATCTGCCCTAATGAAGGACACGAACTTTCTCGTTTCTTATCTCCTCCCTCTCGAGAGATTCTTTCCAAGCAAGCTTTGCCAGAGAACCGCAGCGCACCATAGCTTTGTGAGCTGCTGCCCTGTCCTCCACTCTCGATCTCTCTCGCTCCTCCCCGCGGTCAAAAGGACTTCTTCCTGGCAGGCACCGTTCCATCGCTGCCGATGAGCATCCCATACTTATCCTTGCGCGTAAAGTTCGTGCACTCGAATCCCAGCGTGTCCGCCAGCACCCTCTGGATGTAGTTGGCCACCTCGATCGCCGACTTGCCCCCCTGGACGCTCAGATCGTGCGGCAGCCGCTCGAGGAACGTCACCTCGTACACCGGGAACGGGTTCATGAAGAAGAAGAACGGGTCCATCCCCTTCCAGCCCCGCACCGTCGTCCCGTGGAAGATGCTCGTTTTGGTCGACGTCGCAACCGGGACGATGTTCTCGGACAGCTCCGCGAACAGGGCGCTGAACCGCAGCAGGAAAGGCTCCCGGCACGTCGTTCCCTCGGGACAGATCGCCAAGTTCTCCTTCAGCAGCAGCCGCTTGATGTTCGAGGCGTCCCTCTCCCGGTCCCGCGACAGCGGCACCGTCTTGATGGGCGAGAGCACCTCCGACACCCGGCTAATGCTGTAGGTGAGCGCGGTCACGTCGCTCCCCGAGGCCGCCGAGGCCATTATCGGGTCGATGAGCGTCCGGTGCGTGCAGACGAAGAGGATCCCGTTCTTGGAAGGTGGCGGGACTTTGCCCTTGACGATGAGCCGGACGCCGATCACCTTGTAGAGCAGCGGGACGTACTCGACCGGGCATGGAAGCGCCACCAGGATGCGGAAGAAGGCCAGGAGGAAGCCGGCGGGTAGCCACAGAAAGGTGACCAGCGCCACGAACGGCGTCGGCCTCTGGACCAGCCTGCCGTCGTGAAAGATAATCTTGCGCGCGAGTTTGTGAGCTGGAACGGCGTCGGCAGGCTGGCTAGGAACAATGTAAGCTTCCTGCAAAGCCGAAAAGGAAAAAAGAGAGGCGACTTTATTAGTTCTGGTGAGACTCGGAAGTTCCACATCCGTGGATGAAATAAAGCCAGAAGACGACGGAGACAACGAAGACAACGCGGACTTGACACCAACAACCATACAACAAAATCAAAGAAAAAGAAAGCCAGGCGACGAGTTGCTCCAAAGATCACAGACTAGCATAGCATGCACTGCAATATATGCATATGCTCCTGCTGACTACAGGCGAAAAGGAAGAGAGCTCAGAGAGAACGAGAAGTACCAACCTTGCAAAAAGCCATGAACGGATAATCAGAGCTGCGATCGCCAATCCCCAGGTCTGGCACCTCCTCACCAAACACGGCCTTCAATGCCCGCCTCTTGTTGACGCCAACCAAAACGCCGGGGCTCTTGACGAACCCCGTAGCGTACCCGCTCCTTGTCACTTGCAGCTCCGTCCCTATCACCTTGTCAGCGCCCAGGTATGTCGTGGCAAAGTGCTCCACCATCAGTCTCGGGCTGGCCGTGAGAATGTAGCGCTTGCCGCACGACGAGAAGACTCTCCAGGTGGAGCTGTGGACGTCCTCGGAGTAGAACTTGGGGAGAACTGCGCGAGCCACCGCTTCGATGTCCCGAGCTCTCTGGCCGGCGCAGGAGAAGAAGATGAGGACTTTGATGCCTGCTGCCTCCGAGACGAAGTGGTAGAGCAGCCACGCGACGGGGGCCATGACCATGAGGAGCACGCTTCTCAGGAGGCTGCCTCCTTCCAGAGCCACCAGCATGAAGTAAGGGAAGGAGCTCCGGCTGCGAACGCAGGAGCCATCCAAGTCGGCTACCACGCTCTGCTTCTCGCGGTTGTCGGCCGAGCAATTGTCGATCACGTCATACGGGTGCTCCATGTCGAACTCCCGCATTGCAACAACCATAGCTTTTCTACCTGCAAGCAAGCACGAGCAAGGCCGCAAACAGTAAAGGAATTCACATAAAGAGTGAAAGCAGTGAAATACCAGAATGTAGATTGGAAAAGCGAAAGCTCCTCGATCGACTTGTAACGCCCAAGTTGCTCTCCCGATTTCACGACCGGTCCCTCACATTCCAGAAGCTAAGTGCTCGGACCCATTCCGCGAAACAGCCAAATGCCGCACACTCTAAGAACACAAGTGACCGAGAAAGCAAGTGAGATCGAGAGAGCGATAGAAAGAGACAAGAGAGTAAGAAATCTAACGCATAAGGAGTGAGTGGAGGGAAGAGAACCAAACCCGGTGTTGTACAGGCGGAGCAGGAACTCGGAGCAGTGGAGTGACAGTAGAAGTGGCTTCGCTCCTCTCCTCTCTTCACCGTCTCGGCTCACACATCGGCTCCCTTTTCACCGCAAACGGCGTTGTATGGTGGAGCCATTTAATTCGTTGGTACGTCACCTGATGAGCATTCTCCAAAGTAGACCGCAGTTAATTACCACCAGACCAAACTTCGTGCCGGCTGAGCTCTCCCAAAACCATGCTTTTTACTGTCCCTTCTTTCTTGGCTTGATCAACCCGAACTTTATCCGCTGCGTCCTGTTGAGCTTCTTCCTGTTTGCCATATGTATCGGGACCTCACGGAATCCATGGTGTCCGCCATCCGAGTCTTTCATGTCCTGTGGCTTCACCTGGAGTAGACGATACCAGTATCTCGGTCGGGGCCGGTATCCTGGACCAACTATGGGCTCCCGAATCCTTAGAGTTCTCTTGCCGGCCGCGGCTGGCAAGCTGGAGCGACGCGGAACAATCTCCCTGCTTGACAACCACCTCGGCTCCACAAACTTTACGCGCTCTAGCTCTGTGATGTCTTCCAGGGGGACGATTCTCACTTCACGGATGTTGGAGGCTTGGAAAGGACCCCACTGTGCGCAGAAACCACGAGTCCGGATACTGATATCGCGTAGGAGTCTCTGTACCAGGCTGAGGAACTTTGAGTCGCGAACCGGCCAGAACAAGCCAACGTTGCTGGTGGCACCCAGCCAGCTCAAGTCTACGACCGCGCAGTGCCTCACCACCAGTGTTCCAGCGCAAGCTTTGAGATTCAGCCAGTCCTGGAGACCGAGCTCCCTCAGCCGGACGTGCCTCTCTACGCTCTGGAGGATAAGCTTCGTCTCGTTGATCTTGAGCTCCACCTGATCGCCGCTGGTCTTGACTGGCTCAAACGCACCCAGCTCGAGAGCCCTGCGAGGCACGGTACACAGCGCGAGACCCGTGACGAGCCTGTCCGTAGGAAGCAGTTCGAGCTTGCGACACATTTCCTCCTTCTGTTTGAGGTCCACTATCACGAACTGCCGCGACCTGTCTTCATTACTCACCACTCTGGTGCCAGGCTCGATGTGTGATATCGAGCCAATGAGCTCCAGCGCGCTCAGCATGGAATCATCGCATTGCTGGCAAGATAAAAACTTATGAGTTTCCTGAGCGTAAGAGAAACAAAATATCTTGTGAATCACCAAGAACGTAAACTAATGGAGGACAAGAGTGAATCACTAAGAACATAAACTAATGGATGAAATCCTGGGCGGCGATGATGCATGCCTTTGTCCACACTGACGCTGCCACAGTGAAAGGGAGGACAAGATGAAGAGCATGAATAGAGAAGCATAGGAAAAACTGAAGCATCTAATGGATAAATTAATGTGGATGATCCATCTATGACAAAAAAAGGACGATGGTCGAAGAAAATGCACAGCAAAGATCCAACCAAGCACAAGAACTCACAAGAAATCTAGAACCGCGAGCAAAAGAACGATCAAAATACCTGCCATAGCACGTCTTTCTTCTCGCTTCCCAGGCTCTTGAGAATTTCCAGCATGCTATCACCCCACACGCGGCCGACGGCGTCCCTAGGCCCCGCATTGTAGAGCACTGGCACCTCCTCGGAAGGAATGTAGACGAGCTTGAGCGGCCTGACGAGCTTCATCTCCGATGGATCGAGACTCGCGAGCCGAGCGGCCTCTCCCAGGAGCGCGGAATCCTGGAATCGACTCACCGGCGGCTCGGCGCTGTCGATGATCTTCTCGGCCTGGTGCCGGAGGAGCGGGACAAACTTGGTGGAGTAGCATCGCCGCCATCGCCATCGCGAGCGAGATGGGAGGGAAAGGAGCTTAAAACCCATCCTAACCCCTGGGGTTAGGGTTAGGGCAAAGTTCACTGTGGGCAACACAAGGCATAGATCCTGGGGCTCGATCGGTCGATCAGGCAAGAAATTCTAGCTTGTAAGCGTCGATCTGGTGGCGGTGCGTTGGTCCGAGCTTGCTAGATGTGGTTTGAGGCGGATTTTTTCTTGTGTAGCCTTGAGGATCACTGTAGAGGTCATGACCGGCATTTCCTTCCTCGAAGATTTTATAGGAAGTAAGTATCAAAGTTTTTTTCTCATTGTCTTTCCTTTTTCTCGCGCTTACGTAGCATCGCTGCGTTCTTTAGGCACAGCATCGCTACCAGCGGAGCTCCAACAAAACTATTCGCTTATTCGGCAGCTCGATGAGCAACAAAATGGTAATTCTTTCCACTTGTTAGAATCTTCTCTTCCTTACGTGATTTTCTCGTAGAGCTTCAAAGACAAATGCATGGATGCTGTGCTCACGGCCTGGAAGATGTCAAGCAAGTTTTAAAAGCTGGAGGAGCCGCAGCGGAAGCTGTGGCGAACAAATACGCAAGCAGCATTGCCTCGGTGCACAAGACCTGTGTGGATGTCGCAAACGAGAAAGTAGCACTCGCTCTTTCAACGTATGACATGGTACGCTCTCTATCGGCTTATAGCTTTCTTCCTTTCTTTCTCGCATTTAGAAAGCTGCTGTGTGTCAAGGTCGACAATTACATCCAGCGGCTTGACAAGTATCTCAAAAAGTACAAGGAAGACTGTGAGCAAGGTATAACGCGTGACGTGGTCTCGTTTTGTGACATAATTTGGGGATTGTAAAAACACCAGCAAAGGATTTGCAAGGAGGAGACGAACAACAAGCGGATGTTGGAGCTACAGGGTAAAGAAGTGTTCCTTCCAAGCTATTTTTCGGCTCACTAGTTCGTGCAGGGAGGACGATAGACAAAATCCCAGCACAGATCTCGACATACCTGTCGATCCAAACGAGCCAACGTATTGCCTCTGTAACCAAGTCTCATACGGAGAGATGATCGCTTGTGACAACCCGGACGTAAGTTTCAATCGACCAAGCACTTGTTCATGGACTAAGTTTTCATTGTTTCTTTCCACGCAGTGTAAAATCGAGTGGTTTCACTTTGAGTGCGCAGGAGTTCGCGAGCGGCCTAAAGGCAAGTGGTACTGCCCGGACTGCTCGCAAATGAAGCGCCGCCGAGCCAGATAGATCACAGTCTGGAGGCTGTTTTCTATATTTTACAGCGCCACGATTTCATCAATCAAAAGATTGCACAACAAAATCTTGACTTCATTGCGTATTTACAAAGGTCTGCTAGGAGTATCATCTAGTCCACTTTGGAACGCTTGTTGCTGAGATGACTCTGCATAATCCTGGCCGTTTTCTATGCCAGCCTTGGATACCAAGCTCAGCATTGATGTTCGCATCCAAGACTTCGTTTCGAGGCTCACTCTGGACGAGAAAGTGGACGCGATGGTCATTCCCCGGCTGGGAGTTCTTAGTTATCACTGGTGTCAAGAAGCTCCCGGGAGTCCAGTTTGGCGGTCTTGCTCCGGCTGCTACAAAGGGCGGTGTCATTCAACTGCACACTCTTCTACTTGATTGGAGAGGGTGTCAAGTTCTAGAAATCTTTGTCTAGCTAGGTGAAATCTATTTTTATAAGTCGTTTGTGACCAACGAACTTATCCAGCATGCAGTTGAGGTGACCTGGTAACGTCCATGGTTGAGGTGGCAACCAAGGCGGATGCTGTGGTTTTGATGGTCAGCCTCGACCAGTCCTAGGAGAGGGAGACTTTCAATAGAGCAAGCTTGCTTCTTCTGGAATGCAGTTTCAATTTGTCTCCAGTGTTGCAAATGCCATCACTTGTCCTGTTGTTCTCATGATCATGTCTGTGGACCTGTTAATATCTTGGCTTTCAAGGACAATCCACAGATCTCAAGTGTTATTTGGATCATGTATCCTAGTCAGTCCAGAAGTTCTCATGTCTTTTTTGGAGCTTGCAATCTAGGTATTCCTTCTCTTTCTTTCCTTCTTTGCAAACTTAGAACTTACATGGATTGAATCCAAAACTCCATCAGGATATCCAGGGAGAAGCTATCGATTCTACACCACACCACTCTACAATTTTGGCCATGGATTGTCCTACTTAACTTACTCATTTTCTAGGCTCCTTCAGGAGTAATAGAGGAAACTCCTGAGACATGCTTTCATTTACCAATGGAAACTTGCAAACAGCATTTTGTTCTGGAAGTAAACAATCTCGGGCCTAGGTCTAGAAGCCACTCGCTGCTGATCTTCTCGGCTCCTCCACCAGTGGAGGGCGCTCCTCTCAAGCAACTCATTGCATTCCACAAGGTCTATTTGGAATCAGATACGCCTCAAAGGCTCATTTTTGGCATCGATCCAAGCGTCTGGAAAAATGGAAAGATTTCTACACTCTGGTCGACACAAGCTACTTGTTGGCAATGCTGTTCACGTTCATAATGTCTCCAAGACTGAAGAAAAGGAACTAGTTTCTTTGCATACTTTGAAGCTAACTCAAAGAAGTTTTTTAGCTTGATTGATTTATTCATTGAATAAGATGAGATTTCCATGCTCAAAAGCTGAGCCTGGAAATCAAGAGTGGCTCCTGCCACATCCACAGTACCCAGTTTCTCGTCCTCATCCCAGCAAACCCATTGGTAAGCCACCTCTTTTCAAAAGTTCTAGCCAGCGTTTCATCCTTTTCCTTGACGACTTGGCTCCACTCAAGCAGTATATAAAGCCTCAAGCTTAGCCATATTTGCTGGACAAGGTACCTCGCACTCACTTTGCTGGTATCTTCCACCAAAGAGTGATTGTAGAGCCACCATATCTCTGTTAAGATGGTCCTCCTTAACAAATTCCACACATAAACAGTGTGGTGACTTTCCCATTCCTCTCCCTCAAGTCCCTGTCCAAAGAGAGCTTGTTTCCAATTCACTTGAATCTTTCCCTTGGAAAAACCACTCAACTTGCATAAGATCTCTACAGCCCAGTACCAAATAGTAGCCTGAAAGTTTGAGAAGAACATGTCAACTAGCATGTTGGTGATGTCTGCTGGATCAATTTGAGGCTCTCTCTTGCCAGTTTCCAAGCTGTGGCAAACGACCAAACTGCTAGTTCTTCGGATGAGGATGAGATGATATCCATTAGGAGCAAGGATCGGGAGTGAGCCAAGGCAGACATCTCCCAGCCAAACTTCTCCATTTTTCTTGCAAACTTGGTCAGCTTCACAAAGTTCTTGATAGAGCTTGTTTTTGAATTCTTGTGCGTCATGGGTGCTCATCAAGGCGACGCGAATGCAGCGGGGGTACACTGCAACTGTGGTGTGCCATTTGTTGTTGTTGGTGGTGGTGGTCGCAACCATCGCCACTCTTTCTTTGTGGGTGTCGGTTATTGTCAGCTGAATGGCATGAATATTCTTAACTGACTTTAATCATAAGGATTAAAACAAACAACAACCTTTTAATAAACGAAAAAGTCAAAATCATAGTATGTTGTTATTAACAAAGCGTGAACTTTTAAATCTTCAAGTATTATTAAACATAGAAGTAGAAATGAAGTAACAAGTGCTTGTTCAAAACTAACAATCCCAAGATTCACTTGGAGTTGAAAACCTTGAGACAGGCGTGATGTAAACGCTGTGATTGAGTCCTCTTCATCCAAGCTGCTCCAGGCCTGAACTTGAATCCTCAAGTCACTGAAATGGCATCAAACAATGGATGCAAGGCCGGCCATAGACTCCAGCATTTTTGTATGAGATTTCTCAGAGAGATTGAGCACACTAGAGGGATTTCATAACCAGCACTTCCTGTAAAAACACGGCTGTAAACATCGGCTTTTCTCAAGTAGCCTGTGGAGCCCGTGTCATTAACTTCTAAAGCCATATAGCCAAGAGTTCCAGCTCAAGCATGTCTGGTGGCTCACCTCACTAGCCTCAGCACCATCATCCCAAGATCTGCAGCCCTCAAGGCCCTGATACCATGAAGAGACATGCGGAAGCTACAAGGGACAGAGATAACTCAAGGATCGCTTGAATATATCATCATAGCCAAATAGACATGATCAAGAGACACACCTCTAGCCTACACTTGGATTAATGAAGTCCACCTAGGATCATGTCATAAATCAGCACTTCAGCCATCAGATCTATTCTTCCTATCACAAAAATCTATTTTCGCTAGACCAAAGTCTGCAATCTTGACAATTATTATAATCCTGGATTAATATTAATCTACCAGACACATCATCGCTGCATCTTAAACTTTGCAAACCACTTGAACTATACACTCTTTTTGAAACAAGAATTTAATCTAAACGAGAGAAGTTTGAAGCCAAACCTTTGAAGGAGTTATTGGAAATCCCACGCATGATGCCAGCAGCTGCATCACGTAGATCCGACCTTTCTCAACGTTGATCAATCCTTCCCTAATAGCAGTCTTCATGGCTTGCCATATCCCATTCCCGGCCAGAGGCTGCACCAAGTTAGTAAGATCTAAGTGACTGTGCCAATCACATTGGCAGTCAACCACCCATGCATCTGCAATCTTCTTTTACACGCAAGTATCGAGCACCTTGACCCAGAAACCAGCTGAATCCATAGAAGCTGCCTGTCCTCCTCGATGTCCGACACCAAGCCTGCTCCTACTTCACGCTGGAGAAACTTTGGTCAGCGATCTGTAGCCGGTCACTCATCCCGAAAAGATCAACACCCACTAGAGGATGGATCCACACTTACTGGTTCATGGTCACCATCAGTGGTAGCAGCGCCTGCGCTAGAGCATGCTGCAAGACGCCATGAGCGACGCGGTGTTTCCTGACGATGTCAGCTGCGGGGGGCTTGCTGAGAATGATCACAAACGGATGATCCGCTTGCTGAGAATGATTGCAAACGGATGATCCATCTGCGGGCCGGGGAGGCAGAGGATCATTCATGGCAGCCAACTTGCGCCACTCGCTCCTCCGCCCCCTTCAAAGCCTCCTAAAACAGTGTTTAGGTGACTTTAGTAATGCTTGACGCGTTTGAGCTTTTGACCAACTGTTGACTCACACATTGACCATTTTAGAAACAATGAAAGAAGAGTGTATTGTATGGAAGATCATGGACATCACTTCCTAAACGGACAAGGCCTCCCTCCTCCTCCTCCGACGATGCCATCGTTCCCTACCAACATCCGGTACTTGTCCCTCCTCGTGAGATTCGTGCACTGGTAGCCCAGCGACTCGCCCAGCATCCTCTGGACGCGGTTGGCCACCTCGTGGCTGGGCCTGCCACCGCCCACACACGTCTCCTCCGCTGCCAGTGGCGCCAGGAACCGGACCTCGTATCCCGGCCTGGGATTCATGAAGAAGAAGAGTGGATCTAGCGCCTTCCAGCCGCGCGCGGTAGTGGCATGGAACATCGTCAGGCTGCTCGTGACCCCGACCGGGACGATCCGGTCCGTGAGCTCCGCGAACAGGGCGCTGAATCGCAGCAGGAATGGCTCGCGGCAAGTGGTGCCCTCGGGGCACACCGCCAGGTCGCCCGTGTCCAGCAGCCGCGCCATGGTCCGCGCGTCGTGCTCGCGGCACCGGGTGAGCCGTGCGGTGCGTATCGGGGACAGCACCTCCGACACGGGGCTGACCGAGTACGTGACCGTCTTGACGTGGCGCATCCGGGCGTAGGAGATGAAGACCGGGTCCAGCAGCGACCGGTGCGTGCAGACGAAGAGCACGCCGCGGTGTGCCGCGGGGCGCGTTGGCTCGGTCTCGTCCGTTGACCCGGCGGCGCCCGGCGGTATGCAGCCCGCGACGCGGATGGAGATGCCGAGGAGGGCCTCGGCGGGGAGGGCGAGGCGGCTGGGCAGGGCGAGGCCGACGACGACGCGTATGATGGCGAGCGGGAGCGCGAGAGGGATCCAGAGCCCGATGGCCAGGCAGTGGAGCGGCGTGGGCGATTTGATGAGGCGGCCGTCGTGGAAGACGAGCGGCTTGATGTAGTCCTTCTTGGGCACCGTCGCGCAGGGGGGCGAGGGATTGGATCGAGCATCCAGGCATTTCTATGAGAGGGAGAAGAAAGATCAGAGAATTCAATGGATCGATCGTGTGGCCATCCATACCTTGCAAACGCCCAGGAAATCGGTGCCGCTACCGCTTCCAATCCCAATGCTGATTGGAGCGCGATCGCCACCGAAGTGTTTTTGAGCTAGCTGAGCTTTGTTCTCGCTGCAAACGACCATCTTGATCAATCCAGTGCAGTAACCCCTGCTTGTGATGCCCAGCTTGGATCCAATCGCGCTCGCGTCAAGGTAGTGGCTCGCCAGAGGCTCCACCATCAGCGCTGGCAAGCTCGTCACCACCATTCTCTTCCCGCAAGCCTTGAACACCCGAAAGGTCTCGGGGTTTAGATCCTCGAGGAAAAACTTCGCGAGAACTGCCCGCCCCACGGATTCCACCGCCGAGGCCCTCAATCCGGCCACCGCCACGAAGCAGAGAATCTGGAGCTCCAGCGCGGGATGGACGAGGCAGCCAGTGATCCACGCGAAGGGAAGAATGAAAAAGAGGAGGAGCGCTCGTAGGGGGCTCCCGGCCTCGATCGCGACGAGCATGAAGTATTGAAACCAGCTCGGGGATTTGAGCAGAGCCCCCTCGAGATCGATCACGATGCTATCGTCGT